ACCTATCCAGATTGGGTGATGCACAAACGTCCGATGAGACCTAAGCCAATCAGACGACGCTGCATGTCCACATCATCATGAGTATATAAGCTTGGCTCTCCGTAGGGTCGGGGTCCTTCTTCTCTTTTTCAGTCTTTCTCTCTTTCAGCTTGGAGCTCCCAATAAAGTATGCTTGAGAAGAATCCTGTTGTTGTTGTTCTTCCCGCTGGCGGGACGGGCGCAACAGAGACATATGTTGGAACATTGTCAGTTTTAATTTGTATAAGTGTCATCATAATGGTCATGACATCTAATAAATGTATAATTATAGAACCATTCTTTTCAGAACTTAAAGCCGTTGTCCATTGAAGTTGTGAATATGTATGTATGGCATGGTGCATACACTTTAATTTCTCAAACTGCAAAATAAAAGATATCTATTTGCCATATTTTATTTCTTTCAACACTTTTTGGGTTACTTTCTGTAGGTAATGGAGTTTGGCTATACAAGGAAAAAGTAGGATATTTCCTTATAATTTCCTTGGCTTGTTGCCAAGTAATGAAAAAAATCTTTCTGCAAATCTTTGCTATTAATACAGTGTTTTAAAAATGATACTGAGGCTTTTCAGCACATTTCCTATTAATATCTAATCAATTTCATTATTACCTTGAGCCAGAGGGCCTGGTAGACCCATATGAGATCTGATAACGTGTTATATATGATGGATGAACTTAATTTTAAGTTTCATTGCAATATTGTCAGGTAGGATACATGGAATTGCTTTAATTTTTCTGATTTGTGTCCCAGGATGTCCTCTATATTAGAGAAGTTTCCATGGGTTACTGAGTAGAATGTAATTTGTTTGGTGTTTGGGTAGAATATTTTATAGATATGTGTTAAGTCCATTTATATATAATGTCATTTAATTTTGATGATTGTTTTTGTCCAAGTAACCTGCCTATTGAAGAAGGTGTGATACTGAAATCATCTACTATCAAGGGGTTTAAATTAACCTGCATCTTCTTTTTTTTCCCCTGAGATCTGATTTCTCTGTGTAGCCCTGGCTGTCCCAGGATTAAACTGTGTCCTTAAATCCAGGGGTATCCTTTTTATGAAGTTGTGTGCTCCAGAGTTTGGTACATATATGTTTAGGATTGTAACATCCTTTTTACTAACCATTCCCTTGATTAAAATGGACAGCCCTTCTTCATCTTTCTAATTAGAATCTGAAGTCTATTTTTTTCAGATATTAAAATGGCAATATTTGCTTCCTTCTTGGTCCTATTTGGAGTTCCTTCTGTCTTTATACTTAAAGGTGGTATCTGTTTATAAAACTGAGTTTCTTGTATACACCAGAAAGACACTGTTTCTTAATCAACTCTGTCTTTCAATGGGAGAACTGAGGGCATGAATGTTGAAAGATATGATTGAAGGGTATGTGTTGACAGCAGTTAGGGTTTTTTTTTTTCTTTTTGCTCTTCTTAGTTGTATTTTGTATTTCAGTAATTATAGCCTCATTTTTCTTCTTTCTACACTCTCCTGGCTATACTTATTCCTCCTTCAGCCTGAAATATTGCTTCCTGTGTTTTGTGTAGGGTTGGTTTCCTGAATATTAATTCTTTTAGCCTCATTGTTTCATGAAAGGGGTTTCTTTTTCTTTCAATTATGGCAGATAATTTTGTTGAGTACAATAATTTGTCAGTCAAGATCTTTTAGAATTTGGATTGTAATGCTCTACATTTTTCTGGCTTCAAGTTTTCCACTGAGAAGTTAGCTGTTATCTTGATGGGTTTCCCCTTATATGTGACATTTTTTTTCTCTTGTAGCTTTCAATACTATCTTTTGTGGTCTTATCTGCTTCTTGTACATGTATTGTTGTTCCTTTGGGGCATCTTACTTTTATGATCATGTCTCCAAGATCTAGTCTTTGCCACTGACATGGAACTATCCCTCATCTATGTCTTTAATTAGAATATTTGATCCTTACATGGTGTCCCCTGGTCCTTGCATGCTCTTTTCCTGTACTTAATTAAAAAAAAGAAAAACATATTCTTTGCTTACATAATCTAGTTAACTCTATCTTTAGGTCCTGATATTCAATCTTCTACTTGAGCCATTCTACTTTTGAGGCTTTCCCTTGAGTTTTCTAATTGGGTTATTGGTTTTTTTCAATTCTATGTTCTTTTCAGCTTGAGGTCTCATCAATATTTCAATCTCCTCTTTGAATTCTGACTTCAAATCATGAACTGATGTCACTTTGTTTAGCAGTGTATTTGTTGCTTCTTGGACATCACTCAGGTAGTTACTGTTATTCTCTTGATGTTCAATAAGGTTTTGGCTTATTTATTTTTTAAATTTCTTGAATTATTATTAAAACTTATTAAAAGTTTTCTTTTAATAATGTGTCCTGGGTTCACCTAGGTAATCTGGGAGTAGTGTGTTTGAATGGAGACATGCTGTTTTGGGCATTCATATTGTTTTTTGTTTTTGTGACATGAATTGAGTATGTAGACTTTTTTCTTTGGTCACATGTCTTATGTGAGATTCTGACCAGCCTTAGATTGGGCCTGTGCAGGCCTGTGTAATTAGGCTAGGAAAAGCTGGTGCGTGAGTCTTTTAAACCTAGGCTAGGCACAGTCAACCTTGGTCTGCAGCTATAGAGTTGGAGGCAATGGGGAGAGCAGGGGAAGGGAGTCACCAGATAGAGTTAGAGCAATGGGTCTTGAGGCCTGCAAGTGTGGAGATGGCATAATAGCAGTGGGGAAGATGGGAGAGGAAAGAGACTTACCAATCAAAGATAGCTCAAAACTAACATTGGTTCATGGATTAAAAGTCTGGGGCTATGAGCTGCTGCTGAAGGCCATGTCTTGGTGTGTGGCCCTGCTGTGGCTAGGGTCTGTGATGATGTTCATGGTCTGTGTTGCCGCAGGGGGTCATAGAAACCATGAATGTTGAAATCTAAAGGCCATACTGAGCTGGCCCTGCTCCTGACTGTCCCTTGAATGGCTGACCTGTCCCTCATTGGATGCTGCAGTAGCAGAGCTGACTCCACACTTGGGGAGAGATGGCCCCACTCCACACCATGAGTGTGGGTGATCTGGCCCCCATGGCATGGGCCTAGGAGAGCTGGCTCCACACTTCTCCTGAGGTGGGCAGTCTCAGTGGCCCAGACTGACCAGCTCAGATATCACCTGGGCCTTTGATTGACCCACCCTGACATCTACCACATCTATGTCCAGATGGAGTGTGCGAAGGGACTGGTCTTGTATAATGATAACTGCATGATCTCCACGACTTGGGGCAACATTGGGATTCTGGGAGGAGTTTCAGTGAGGGTCCAATGAAGATAGTGTGTCAGAGGACTTGAACCAGAACAATGACTCATTGCAATGAACAATTTGTGGGTGGGGCTGATTGAATAAAAGGGTATACTATATGACACACCACAGCTGACACACCACAGCACCCAATGCCACTAGGATTAATGAAGAGGTATTGTAAAAATGGAGAAGTGAGTTTTTGTGTGTGTGTGTGTCTTTTGCGGGGGGTTCTCTGGTGGGGGCATGCTGCAGGTGAGGGGAGGATATGGAGGAACTGGGAGGTGAGTGGAATTGGAGTGCATGATGTGAAATTTCCAAAGAATCAATAATTATGGTTTCTTTCTCTTTTCTTTTTTCCTTTTTTTTTTTTTAAGTCTGGGGCTAAATGCCTCCTAAACCATGACTTTTTTGTTACAGACTATTTTTGGATGATTTTAGAGCAAATGGTCTGAATTCTCAGTATAATGCTAATATTTCATTCCAGATGGAAGCTCAGAAACTCAAAGTTCCTTTCCCATAGCACAAGCATCATCTGGCTCTGTTCATTTATGAGAATTAAGTACTGGAGAACAGACATAACCTATGATATTCCCTTGTTACTACTTTAGTGACTCCTGATATTGAATCAGAATTCTCATGCCTTCAGACTAAAATGATAACTATAAAAGGTTCTATTTGTGTTTGTGCATGTGTCTTTGTGAGTACATAAACATATGCGTGTACTTTCTGCTTATTATTATGAGGTAAACCTCTCCTTGAACCTAGGGCTTACATTTTCTTGGCAAGGCTGAAAGTCTTCAAGCCCCTTGATCTTGTCCCTGAGCTCACCTTGTATGGAGGATTACAGGCATGTATAAGATGCCCAACTATTCTGTGTGTTATGGGATTGCAACTCCGTTTCCTTATGATTGTACAACAAGTGGTTTTAACTACTGGGCCATCACCCTAGCCTCTAACTTTTACTATTATTGTTATTATTTTTAGTTGCACATCAGTGTTTATTTCAGAATTTTTCACAATTGCCAAGTAACCAAGCTGATCAGGTGTTCAACAACAGAGACAAGGAAAATGTGGTAAATATATACAATGGTATATTTTTCTGCCACCAAGAAAAATGAAGTTATCTTATTTGCAAGGAAATGGACACAAATGGAAATAATCATATTAAGCAAATTAAACCAGTCTCAGGAAACAACATGTTCTCCCATTTTGGGGTCCTAGATTTTATACAGTCACATAAAACGACAACAGAAGTGAGATTGTTCATAGGAACAAAGGGGAGAACAGGGGTGGGTAGGAACAATCAAGGAGAGGGTTGAAAGGAGGCATGCTTAACATAAAACTAGGCTTGTATGAAAATTAAAAATATATTAAATATTAAAAATAATAGTCTTACAATAATAGCTCACTTTCTACTTGTCAATGTCTTTTTATAACCATCATTTTTCATCCTCTGAATTCATAAAGGTAGAAAACTGAGGTGGAGAGAGAATACAGAGAGGCCCAATATAAAGACACTAGTCAGCATCAGAGCTAAGAGTTTGGCTCAGGTCACAACTAAGATCTGAAATGACTTTCAGAGCTGTGTTTGGAAGATAGGAGGAGAATAAGGTGCTAACTTTTAAGTTTAGAAGTAAGGTAAAATAAATCTTCACAGTTCAGAAACCTGCCATTTACTCAAACTTTCAAAGACTGCAAAGTATCTTCCCCAGGGTTTTTATTTGTATATGTATATGTAAAAGACTTCTATGTATTCAGTGGCAGACAGCAGTATGAGAAAAGATGGTCACTGGTTGGGCTGCAATCTCATTTTATCTGTATTAGCCAAGGTCAGAAAGATTTGTTCCAGTGTTACTTGTTTGAAAGAATAGTCTTCTAGATTAAACAGCATTTTAGCTTCCTCCATAATTTCAAATACCTTAAACAAACAAACACAAGGCAAAGTTATCACATATTATCTCTAGGTAACCCTTACCCTACTATACTTTCCTCAACCAGGACACAAAGATAAAGGATGATAGAAAACAAAAGGGGAAGGTGACCAGAAACATAAAAAAAACAGCTATCCTATATTCTCCCTCACAACTCTGCTTACACATGCTTTTAGACAAAATCTCTACATGTACCCAGGCTGGACTCAAATTGCCTCAAAGTACTGGGACTGCAGGTCTGCCCATCCATGCATCATACTTAATTATCCCCACTTTCTTGCTAAACATGACATAATAATATAATTTAGGGGTCAGAAGATTCAATTAGTTAAATTCAGGTGGCTTTGGAAAAAAATAACTCAAAGTTTCTAATTCTCTGATAATTGCATTTCCTTCATACACTTAAGTCCCAATGTTTTCTATTTATCCTCTATCAATACGTTAGACTGGCATGAATTTTACAACCACCTTTCCCCAGCAGATTTCCTTGCTTGGAATATAGTAGCCAATGATTCCTTGAAATTCCTGGTTTTTGATGTTACCTAAGAAGAGAAAGATTTTCAAGAAGTTAGTAATAGAGAGGATCATAGTGTTTCTTTTTAATAATAATAATAATAATACAGCATTGTTTTATAGTGTTGCTAACCTGGAACATGCTATATTGCTTAGGATGGCCTGGACCTTGCTATGTAGCTCAGGCTGATCTTGAATTTAAGGCAATCCAAATGCCGCTACCTCACAAGTTCCAGTGTTACAGGTATGCATCACTACACCTGTTTTTGGATCCTACTATTTGGTAGTTTTGAAGAACCCCTATGCAATGTCTATTTCAACTGTCCACACAAATGGAGAGAGACTATGTGAAGTTAATACAAGAGATGATATAATCCTAAGACTGTAATCACTAACAGGGATGACGCAATCATTTGCAAAACCTGAGATTTAAATGAATCTTAGTGTTTGGTAGCAATGCTGTTGCCATTTCTAATTAGTAGGATCCACCACTGGTGGAATTAACTGGGATTAAAGTGTTTTAAAGAGAAGCTAAAATAAATGTCAGTAAGAATGGAAATTCTTTTGTAATGAATTCATACACAGAATTAAGAGTAGCTTTAAAGTTTTTAAAGTTTTTTTTTTTTAAGTGTGAAATATATTAAGCACACATAAATAGGGTATCAGAGGAGATTGTTATTATGAAGAGTTTATGTTGTTTCTTTTTGAAAGTGTGTCATTGAACACAGGCTTGGAGAGTTCATAGCCTCACCCTCATTCCATTTCTCCCTCCTTATTTTGTTTGCAGTTGATGATGTAATCTCTCAGCTTTCTGCTCTGGCTGTCTGTTGCTATGTTGTCCCATTCATTATGGATTTTAACTCTCTGAGCCATAAGCCAAAATAAACTTTCCCCTAGAAGTTGTCTTAGTTATAGTATTTTATCATGGCTAAAAGTAACTAACATATATACCTTGGTGACTTACAGTAAAGAACCACAGACCTGGTTTCCTAACATACTTTTAATAGTCTTCTATGTCTTGACCTTCAGTTATAGTAATGGATTCATTCTTTAAGTTCTAGCTATTTTTCTTCACATAGTTAAATGCTCTATTGCACATACTTTGATCTTTTTACCACACTGATGACAGTGACTACTCAAGTTGGAGATCTTTTGGTATAGTAAGAAGGTTTGTCCCCTGAAATTCATGCTAAAGTTTAGTTGCCATTTTAATAGTATTAAGATGTGAGCTCATAAGGATGTGTCCCCTAGGATGACATCAGTGGCTTTATGAGAAGAGGAAAATAGATGAATATCACCAGTCAGGCTTGGTCTGTCTCCCCACGTGAATACTTATGCCATGTTATGTCAGAGGGGGAAAAGGCCTTCTTCCATTCCTGAGTGGATGCAAGATCTTTAACTTCCCAGCATGCAGAACTGTGAGCAAAGCAAACTTCATTCCCTTATAAACTACTTCAGGTACCCATTCACAGCAATAGAAAATTGACTAAGATATTAATCAAGCCAGAAGTATTAAAAGGCATGTTACATCCCTGCTTAGTGATCAGAATACAGTTGTGGAATCAGAAAGAAACAGAATCCTGTGATAAATGATGGTGTTAGTGTGCCATGTATACGGAGATGAACTAACTGAAGTTAGCATATAAAATTGAATACATATACAACACAACTCCTGCACTGAAGGCTCAAGGAACACATATATATATATATATATATATCGAGAGAGAGAGAGAGAGAGAGAGAGAGAGAGAGAGAGAGAGAGAGAGAGAGAGAGAAGACTGTAAGAGTCAGAAGACCAGGAAGTCTCCTGTGAGATTGTATCTCTTAGAAATGACATGGAAGCTGTACTCATGATACTTCACCAGTAGAGCTGAATAATGGATGTATGAGAAGAGATGCTATTGTAGAAGGGGAGTTTCAAGAAGTGTCACCCCTAGAAAAGAACTACAGGAAACTGATAATGGCCGAGAGAGTCTTCCTTAGGGATGAGCCCTCTAAGTGGTTATCCAATAAAGAGTGCTCAGTCCTCATACATACAAATCACAAAAACAGACTAAGTAGATTGTATTTATATGTTTTCGTGTTTATACAACAGTAACACTATCAATAATAAAGGATATCAATTAGAGAGGAAATGAGGGGGCATGTGAGGGGTTGGAGGGATGAAAGGGAAGGGGGAAGTGAAAGTGGTAATTATATTTTAACTAAAAATATTAAAACCTCAAAAACTGAAGAATAGCTTTCCTCTTTGACCCCCATCTACAATGGATCAGGAGGCTCTTCTCCTTCAACTGTTCTCTTCTCAATCCATCCCATTTTCCCAGCCTCCAGCACCAGCAGGCATTCCTTGGAAACATATCAGCTGAACAGGCCATGGAAATAGGTAATCTGACTGAAGACCTTCACTACTCCCTCTCCTCCAAATCCAATCCCCAAATCTCATTCATAGCTGTGCAACAGAGCACCCACTGCAGCTCCCTCATCCCCCTGCCCACATCTTCAGTGGACTCCACAGACCTCCCCCTCCCCACTTTATCCTAGTCCCTAACTCTGCCAGGGAAGCAGGTGGGCTGACTACAGGTCTTTCTTTTTCTGTTCCTTCATATCTAATTCCCCAGTCTCATCCCAAGCTATAGCAAACTTTCTGGGGTGACATCACTTCATTCTTTTTCCCAATTCCAAGCAGATCCTGATGGAACACTCTTCTCCTCCTTCCTGTGAACCCTGTCAGACCACTATCCCATCCTTATTTCTAAGTGTTAGCTCCCAATACCTAGAAACACTTTTTACCTGGAACCTCCAGTGGCCATATATACCTGTCTGGTCTACCAGACAACACACAGCCACAACACTCTCCAAAAATTCAAAGAGGAAATAGAAACCAAGGAACAAAATACTCTCTCAATAAAGACACAACCAGACAGATATCAGCACCTAGAACTATAATCTTCCCAATCCCAGATGCCTAGATGCCACTGTAAAAACACAGTAGCAGCCACTATAGCACAGCAAACATTCCACAACAGTCCCTGAATATTCCAATATAGCTGAAGTATAAGAAAAAGACCTTAAAGCAATGTGAATGAAAACGATAGAGGTCCTTAAAGAAGAAATTAATAACTTAAAGAAATTCAAGAAAACATAAATAGTGGAAGTAAATGAAAAAACTGCTCAAGATGCAAAAATAGAAACAAAGTCAATGGAGAAAAACAAATAGGGAATTCTGGAAATGAAATATTTAGGATTTTGAATAGGAACTATAGAGGCAAGCTTCAATAGAATGCAAGAGAGTATTAGGTGTTGAAGACATGATGGATATATCTGTCAAAGAAAATGTTAAATTAAAATAACATTCCTGACACAAAATATCCAGGAAATCTAAGACACAATGAAAAGACCAAATCTATGATTAATAGGAATAGAAGGAGGAGTAAACCTACATCAAAGGCACCAAAATACTTTCAACAAAATCTAGAAGAAAATTTTCCTAACCCAAAGACAGACATGCCTATAAAAGTATGAGAAGCTTACAGAGCACCAGATTGATTGGACCAGAAAAGAAAGTCCCCTTGGCATAAATGATCAAAACACTAAGCATACAGAACAAAGAAAGAATATTAAAAGCTGCAAGGGAAAAATGAGAAAGTAACATATAAAGACAGACTTTTAGAATTACACCAGATTTCTCAGTGGAGATTCTAAAAGCCAGAAGAGCTTGAACAGATGTCCTGCAGATTTTTAAGATACCACACCACAGATGCCAGTCCAGACTATTATAATCAGGAAAACTTTCCATCACCATAGATGGAGAAAAATAAGACATTCCACGATAAAGCCAAATTTAATCTACAAATCTAGCTCTATAGAAGGTTCTAGAAGAAAAACTCCAACCTAATGAGGTTATATTACAACCATAAAAATACAGGGAATAAATAATCTTAGACCAGCAAAATCAACAGAAGGGGAAACTTTCACCACCACCACCACCACCACCACCACCACCAACAACAACAAAATAATAGGAATCAACAAACATTGGTCATTAATATCTCTGAATATCAATGGTCTCAATTCCCCAATAAAAAGTCACACAATAAACTTCAAACTAAAACTAATCACAAGAGACAAGGAGGATACTACATATTCATCAAAAGAAAAATCCACCAAGTTGACATTTCAGTTCTTAACATCTATGCGTCAAATACAAGGGCATAAATTGTTGATAGCCTTTGTCATTTATTACAGGATGTAACAATTGATAGTCAAGGTGTCAAACCACAAGAATTAACTTCTGATGGAAACTTGTTTTACAAAGTCTATGAGATATATAGATTCCAGAATATGTGTTGCTTCTGCCTGTAAATTTACACATGTGCTAACCACATTCTTCACAGCCTGTATATGTGTCTATATATCTCATGAATAGTTTCCCAATCTCCTTGGCATTTTAATCTGTAGATTACCAAGAAAATGGCTCTTCCTTAGCTGCATTATCTAATATTAATATTGTTAGCCTATACAGAGTTTTGATGCATAAAATAAATACAAAGAGATGCTGCCCGAGTCAGGAGTCGTAAGTTTCCAGTAAGAGTTGTCAGAGCACAGCTGAAGAAAACAGCTGTATGGTAGCTTGACAACAGACCTAAGTATATTTTTTTTGAAGTGGGGAAGTAGATGAAACTGAAATGTTTAAGCTCATAAAATAATTTCATAATTTGTACACATAAGAAGCTTGTCTATGTGATTTCAAAATTCTTGAAACTAAAGCCTTTTTCTTTTCCTAAATTTTAAATTTGCAAGCTGCTTGCTTTGCATTTCAATCCTAGTTCCCTCTACCTCCCCTTCTTCCCTGCCCCACCACCAACCCTCTATCACATTCCCTTCCTGCTTCCCAGGGAGGGTGAGGCCTTCTAGGGGAGGGGATAGAGTCCGCCATGTCATTTGGAGCGGGGGGGGGGGGGGGGCTAGGCCCTCCCCTGTGTGTCTAGTCTGAGAGAGTTTCGGTCTATGTGTAATGGGCCCCCAGGGTTCATTCATATACAAGGGATAAATTCTGATCCACTACCAGAGTCTCCATAGATGCCCAGCCCTCCTGACTGACACCTATGTTCATGGGTTCTGGGTCAGTCCTATGCTGTTTTCCTATGCTATTAGTCTGGGGTCTATGAACTCCCCCTTGTTCAGGTTGGCTGTTTCTATGGGTTTCTTCAGCCTGGTATTGACCCCTTTGCTCATCACTCCTCCCTTTCTACAACTGGATTCCAGGAGTTCTTCTCAGTGTTCAGCTGTAGGTGTCTGCTTCTGCTTCCATCAGCTACTAGATGAAGGCTCTAGACTCTAGGATGGCATATAAAGTAGTCATCAATCTTATTGTAGGAGAAGGGCATTTAAGGTAGCCTCTTCACTATTGTTTAGATTTTTTTAAAATATTTTTAGAATTCAAAGAACTGTGGCATTTATTAGGAACTTTGGAAGAAAAGAAATGCAGATTTCTAAAAATACTGATTTGAATAATCTTTCCTTTTAAATAAATGAAATAAAAGCGAATATGCTTAAATACCTCAAAAAACAAAAAAGCAAAAAACAAAACAAACAAACAAAGAACAAACAGCTGTAATTTCCCCAGCTGCCAAGATAGCCACCTTACACTATCCAGTGATAAAAAATTAAAGGTAGCTTTTAGATCAGACCAGGTGCTTTACTAATTGGGCTTTAAGATAAACTATTCACAGAAAAATACAATCTTATTTACAAGAACATGTAGCCAGCTGTATGATTTGTTGAGACAGGGTAAATAGTAAACTAATTGCAGTGCTAGGGACAGTAATCAACTCAGCATGGATTCCTAACCCCAGTTATGTGGCCTTTGTTTAGACACCACAGGAAAAGATTTCCTGACCGGCTAGGGCCAGTTACAAAATATAAACTAAACTTTATAGTACTGAACAAAAGTTACAAGCTTCCCTTCCTATGGTCAAGGGTTGCATGCAGGTCAGCAAATCACACCTTAAGGTTTAAAATGCTTTTAATGTCACTGTGCCTGGAAGAATGCTGAGTGGGCTCCTCTGCCATGCCCCTCCCACCCCTTGCCCCTGCAGCCAGGGCTGCTACTCTCTCTACACACATTTGTAAACAAATAGTCCCCAGTCCAAGAAAGCCTGACCTTTAAGACCACTAACCACAAAATGTTTAAGATGTTTTATACACTCAAAAGTATAGAATACAACACACAATTTCCTTATTTCTCTTATTTGTTTAGTTTTATAAGGCTATCTCTATAGATAATATAACAAAAAAATACTTCTCCTTTTACAATTGTGGTTTGCAACCTACTAATAGGGAGTTAACTGAAAGAAAGTGATTTTTTCTTACTATCTTGATTTACTGTACTGTGAGTTGTTAGAATGACTCTGTTTCTTATGATTTACTTCAAAAAATGGTATATAACCTTCAGATGAATGCCTGCAAGATTTTGTGGGTCTTTATAAGCTGTGCAGAATAAAGACGCTGGCAGAAATTAGCAGAATGGCAGAATAAGAGAAATTGGAAAAATTCAATATGGCAGATTTCATCTTGAGAGAATAAAGATTGCTAACCATCAACAAAAAGCATATGCTTGATCCATTCTTTCTTCTGAAGTCCCTCAGACAAAAAAAAAAAAAAAAAAAAAAAAAAAAAGGCCCCAAATTTGCTACTCTGTGGAGTTTTTTCACTGAGCCTTGCAAGCAGCCCAGAAGCAGGTTCTTTTTTTTTTTTTTTGTTTTTTTTTGTTTTTAATTTAAATTAGAAACAATCTTGTTGTACATGTCAATCCCAGTTCTCTCTCCCTCCCCTCATCCCCTGCCCCTCACTGATCCCCTATCCCATCTCCTTTCTGCTCCCCAGGGAGGGTGAGGCCCAGAAGTAGGTTGTAAAAGAAACACTACTACAGTGTAAATCACTTCAAAATTCCACTTTCACCAATAGACAGGTCATCCAGACAAAAACTAAACAGAAAAATGCTGTTCAGAAACCCACAGAGACAGCTGACTTGAACAAGTAGGAGCTCATGGACCCCCCCCCCCCAAGACTGATAGCTGGGAAACTAGCATTGAACCAACTCAGACCCCCTGAAATGGGTCTCAGAAGGCCTGGGCAGTCTAAGGGACCTCTGACAGTGGAACCAGGATGTATCCCTGGTGCATGAAAGGACTTTGGGAACACATTCCCCATGGAGGGATACTCCCTCAGTCTAGAGGCAAGAGGGAAGGCCAAGACCCTACTCCAAATGACTTGACAGATTTTGAGGATTCCCTCCTGGAAGGCATCATCCTCCCTGTGGAGTGTGTGTGTGTGGGGTGTGTGTGTGTGTGTGTGTGTGTGTGTGGAATGAGGGGGGGGGTCAGGGAGTATGGGAGGGAGGGAGAGGGAACTGGGATTGATATGTAAAATAAGAAAAAATAATTAAAAAATGCTGAAGCTAGCAGACATTATAAACCAAATGGACATAATAGATGTTTACAGAACATTTCACCCAAACACAAACAAACAGATATACCTTCTCCTCTGCATCTCATAGATGCAAATCACAACAGATACAAGAAAACTGAAATGACTCCCTGCATCCAAAGATTAAAGCTGGATATCAACACCAACAGAAACAACAGAAAACTTACGGACTCATGGAAACTGAATACCTCTTTACTGAATAAAAACTGGAAATTAGCAAGATCTCATAGGAGCAACTTAATAACACACCAGAAAGCTCTAGAATATAAAGAAGAAATCACACCCAAAGGTGAAAATGGCAAAAAACAATCAAACTTGGGGCTGAATTCAATAAAATAGAAACAACGGGAATGATACAAAGAATCAATGAAACAAAGAGTTGGGTCTTTGAGAGAATTAACAAGATAAAAAACAAAACAAAACAAAACAACAACAACAACAACAAAACTCTTTTCCCAAACAACTAAAAGATACAGAGAGAATATTGAAATTTGAAAAACAAATCAGAAATAAAAAGGAGGACATAACAACAACCACCAAGGAAATCCATAGAATCTTATGGCTATACTTTAAAAACCTGTACTCCACCAACCTGAAAAACCTAAAAGAAAATTTCTCAGTGGGTACTGCTTACCAAAGTTAAATAAATATCATATAAACAATTTAAACAAAGCAGTCATTAAAAGTTTCCTAACTAAAAAGCCCAGGGCCTTATAGTTTTAAGACAGAAATCTACCAGATTTTCAAGAAGAGCTAATGCTGATGTTCCTCAAATTATTTTACAAAATAGATACAAAAGGAACGTCTCCAAATTCATTTTATGAGGTCATAGTTACCCTGAAACTGAAACCACATAAAGACCAAACAAAGAAAGTGAATTACAGACCAATTTCCCTTATTAACTTACATGCAAAAATACTCAAAAAATACCTGCAAACTGAATCAAAGAACACATCAAAAGTTCACCCACCATGATCACATAGGCTTCATCTCAGATATGTAGAGATGGTTCAACATATGAAAATCAATAAATGTCATCTACCATATAAGCAAAAATTAAAGGAAAAAACCACATGATCATTTCAGTAGATACAGAAAGGGGTTTTGACAAAATCCAACATTCCTTCATGATAAAAGTCCTAGAGAAACTAGGGATATAAGGGACATACTTAAACATAATAAAGGCAGTTTACAGCAAACCTATAGGCTGTATTAACTTAAATTGAGAGAAACTCAATACAGTACAATACAGTACTTAAAGTCTTAGCTAGAGCAATAAAACAACTAAGGGAAACCAGGGGATTCAAATTATAAAGAAGTCAAAGTATCTTTATTTACAGACATTATGAAGTATGCATAAGCAACCCTAAAAATTCCATTGGGGGAACTCTATAGCTGATAAACACTTTCAGCAAAGTAGCTGGATACAAAATTAATTTACAAAAATCAATAGCTCTCCTATATACAAAGGATAAATGGTCTGAGAGAGAAATCAGGGAAATGATACCTTTCATGACAGCCTCCAATAACAATATAAAGCCTCAATTAATATAAAATATCTTGAGATAACTAACAAAGAAAATGAAAGACTTATATGATACAAGCTTCAAGTCTTTGAAGTAAGGAATTGAAGAAGATATCAGAAGATGGGAAAGATCTCCCAAGCTCATGGATCATTATGATTAATATAGTAAAAACAGCCATTTTACCAAACCAATCTGCAGATTTAATTCAATCTCCTTCAAAATTCTAACATAATTTTTCAGAGATCTTGAAAGACAATTCAAAGCTTCATTAAAAAAAAAAAAAAAAAGGTATCAGGATAGCTAAAATAATCCTGAACTGAACAATAAAAACCAAACAAACAAAAAACTGCTGAAGGTCTTACTATGACTGATTGCCAGTTGTACTACAAAACTATAGTAATAAAATCAGTAGCTGGGCAGTGGTAGAGCATGCCTTTATTCCCAGCACTTGGGAAGCAGAGGCAGGTGGATCTCTGTGAGTTCAAGACGAGCCTGGCCTACAGGACAGCCTCCAAAACCACAGAGAAATCCTGTCTCAAAAAACAAAACAAAACAAAAACCAAAACAACAACAACAACAAAACAAAACAAAAATCCCAACAAAACAAAACAGTATTGTATTGACATAAAAACAGACATGCTGATTAATGGATTTATGTTGACCAAGACATAAATCTACACACCAATAGATACTCAAGTTTTGATAGAGTAGCAAATATCAGAGATAAATTCATAGAAGTTATTAAAATGAGCTTAGTATAAGGGTTCAATAAATATGAATACTATAATTGAAAACATGTAGCAGAACAGTGAACATGACTTAATATAGTAGTCATGAATCCATCACACCTATGTTACCTGGGAAAGTTGTTTTAATAAATCGTTTGAACTCTGCAACTTTATCTCTGTCCTTAGCAATATTGATCTTCACTGTTAGAGTGTATACATGACCAAACCTCTTTCTGACATGCTGGGGGCTGCCTAGGCATGTAAAACTCCCTTTCAGCATGATGGCTAGCCTAGTACAGAGTGTCTCACATTCTTCCATTCTAGAAGGAAAAAGAAAATACGTCTGAGGAGACTCTTCCAGAGAATAAATTCAAATAGCCAGGGTTGGAAGACTTAGAACTGGAAGCCTTGGCATTACAGATGGTCACCACTAAGATCATATTTGGGAAGAGGACATTTGGAAATTTAAAGCAGCATATACCTAAATCCTCATTAAGTTACCTAAATCATGTTTTTTTTTTCTCAGTTCTTGAGATTCCATCAGTCAACTGAGCTCTCATTTAGCAAGTTCACCCACAGTTGCTTCTCTGTAGCTCCTACCTATGCTTAGGTAAGTTTACTGCAATTAATTCCATCCTACACATTGCAGCTCCTTTTAGCTTCTAACCAAACCTCCAATGACTCTTACCTGTGAGAAGTTATGATGATAGCTTTACCAGTCTTACAGATCCATGTAACTGTGTCCCACAGCAGATGCTGAGCCACTGGGTCCATGCCAGTAGATGGTTCATCCAGGAGGACAACTGAAGACTTTCCCATTAAGGCAATAGCAGTACTTAGCCTGCGTTTACTTCCGCCACTCCATAATGTGAAGAACAAAGAGTAACATATGTCATTAATTCATAGGATTGTTTGTTCATTCAGAATTCTGTGCTATGACTCAAAACTGATGATTCAAGTTTGTGTGTGTGTGTGTGTGCATGCATCTCCATGGAGATACGGGGACTCTTTTTTTTTTTTTTTTTTGTGTGTGTGTGTGTGCAAAGATTGTTTAAACATGCAAAAGGCTAACGCCATCCAAGTGGGATATGTTGTTTTCCTGATGTCTGAGCCTTGGCAGAGTGCTAGGTTATTTTAGCCACTGCCTTCATGTGCCAGAGAGATGCTTTGTAGGCATTGGTTCTAAACAGCAGAAGCACAGGATATGTCACTTAATAACAACAACACAATGTCTCACCTGTATGTGTGGATGAGCTGGTTGGCAATGGGTTCCAGGTGCATTGAATGCAGAAAGGTTTCCACGTACTCATTAATGTTTTGCTCTGGGACCCCCCACAGCCTAGAGTACATGCTCAGTAGTTCCCAACCTGTCATGTGGTTCAGCACAGATTCAGTCTGAGGACAGTAACCAATTCTTGACCTAATCTGAATCAAAAAGGGTAATTATGAGCAGTAGATCCATGCCAGCTACTCCACAGAGCAAAAAATCTCATAGGGATGAGGTACAAGATGTGAAGCTGTTTCACTCACACTACTAAGAAATTGTATACTTACAACTCCTAGCAAGAATGGTTTGTTCGTTTGCCTTCAGCATAAAGGAGTATATATTTTTATGTAGTTAGTCAAGTTTATGCTAAAAGAATTAAGGCAACATATCACTTCATGACTAAAGTAGAGTAAAATTTATACTATGAATTCAGCCATTTCAAATGCCTGTTAAAATACTTAAAAATCTTTGAAGGAATATAACAATTAAAACTCTCCCAATGCATTATTAATAACATCCAGGATATAATCTAATTAATTAATTGGCAAAAGATGCATGCAAAGTACCCACACTTCAGTGAATACAGTAGAAACTGGCACTCAAATAGCCACAATACTGGAATAATCAATACAAATTTGAAAGAAACTCTTACAACTATGTTTAAATAAGGATAATGAAAATGTTTGTAATTTAAAAAAGAAAAAAATTGTAGGAAAAAAAACACACTAAAGAAAAAAAAAAAGGAAATTCCTGAGCTAAAAACTTATGTTTGGGGAAGTGCCAAAGTTGCTAACATGCTTCCCATTCAAGCCTGAGCACTGAAGTTCAGATCCTTATCTGTCACTTAAAGAGCTGAGCATGGCAATAAGGGGATCAGGTAGAGCCTGAAGGCTTGCTAGCATGAAACCTAGCCAACTGGTGAGCCCCAGCTTCAGTGAGACACTCTGTCTTAAAAATTAAAGTGGAGAAATGACTGAGGAATATACTTGACACTGACCTCTGGCCTTTCCAAACACAAACACGTGAATGTGTACACCACACACATGTGTATTCTTATGCATGTATACACACAAGTAAAATAATTATGTTAGGAATAAAAACTTCATCAAGTAGCATTAACATGAGATTGGATGTAATTTGAACTTAAAACAATATAAACTAATCAGCATGTGTATATGTACACTTATTCAAATAGAAAGTATGTAGAAAAATGAAGAGAGACACAGCACCTCTGGGGTGCCACATCAAAAGGATGACTATTTATGGAAACAGAACCAGGAAGGGACCAGAAAGAACAGGCAAATGTGTTCTTTTATGAGAGTCTCTGAACTGAAGAACTGTAAGAAATTAATAAGGAAAATGTCAACAATTAAGAAATGTATAAAAGATACAAGTAGACTATATGGGAAAGGAAACTGGTATCTTTTAAAGATTTCCATAAAGTTATATAATTTCACTCATAAGAAGGGAAAAGAAAAAATTGCTCAAACAGCATTTGGAAAAAAATGGACTACGCACACACACACACACCAAAAAAAAAAAAAAAAAAAAAAAAAAAAAAGGCAAAGACTCCTTAAATAATCTGCGGTGGTAAGTGCAAGGGAACAGACACCATCACACATTGCCAATGTGCATATTCACATTCAGGGAAAGCAATTTGGTGAGGTGGAGAAGATAGTGTTTGGCACATAACTATATCTCCAGTAAAACAAAAACAGACCTTTGTAGTTGACTGTATATAAAGGATGTTTGTAGGATTACTCCTCTTTGCACTCAGGAAGAATGAAGCAGTTAGGACAAGAAGTCTGAGACTTATTAGCTGTATGCTATTTACATTGTTTTTATTTATTCCTTAAGTAATATCTTCTTTATTCAGTTTTGTTGCTATATATTTTTAGACTCTCTGTCCTGCCTTTAGGTAAGTACACTCTAGTTGTTAAGTTACAGCTCTGTCTTTATTATCTACTGACACTCCAGGTGTAATTCTTCATTTTCCTTTGGTTGAACATGCAGCTTTCTTGAAACATTTTATCTGCACAATCTGGCTTTTCTATGTGCCGCACCACTGTACAGGCTTCAAAGAACTCCACTGGAAACTTTATGGTTTGAAAATGTTGAAGATCACCAGTCAATTTCTTTCTTGAAAGTTTATTTCTCATCTTGCTTGAGAGAGAAAATTTCATCCAGATTTTCCCTCCAATTCTCCAATTTTCGTGATTTCTTCTTCAGTTCCTTTATTCTACATTTCAATGTTGATAATCTACCAAATTAAGTCTTTATTCTTTCTATTGTACACATTCCTTATAGACTGTCTCATCTATTTTCACAGTTTAGGTGTCATCTGTACTTTGATAAACATCCAATTCATACTACTTTCCTATCATGGGTTCATACTGTTCATTGTATGCTCCCATTTAGACATATCATAGATACCCCAAACACACTCTCACAAGATATTTACTATCTTGGTGATCAGAGCCTTCATCCTCAGAAGTTCAACATAGAAACATGGGCACCATCTTCATTTCTTTGTTTAAAACTCACATGCCAACAGAGCTGAACCCTTTCAATCCTTTCTGTTTTTCACAAACATTTTTTTTTCTAACTAGTTGAAGTTCAAGATCTATGCCAGAGCAGGTTAGATGTAAGAGCTGTTCTCCTCCAGTTTATCTATTTGCAGACACTTATTCTTTATTTCACAGAAAAGGATATTTTCCTCCCCAAGAACTTATCAGGGTCCTTAGCTGTCCACCCTTGTTTCTCAACAATTTGCATGTCTATCTCCTCCATCAAGATACTACTAAGTCAGTGGTTAAGAAGAGAAATACCTTTCTTGGATTTTCAATGACACTATTGCCATCAATAAGTGCAACTCCAGAAGTGATAGTCTCTTCTCCGGTCAGTATTTTGAAAGTTGTAGTTTTTCCAGCTCCATTTAATCCAAGTAATCCAAAGCACTCAGACTTCCTGACCATAAGGGAGATATTTCTCACAGCCTTGACAACAGGACACTTAAAATAAATCTGAGAAAGTTAAAAAAAATACACAAAGCCTTGCAATGTACTGAGACACCAGTCATGAACCACAACTTAATTACCTCAATCTCCTAAAGCTAACAAACTGATAATCTCATGAGAGCACTTTCTGTCCAGCCCTCTATAGAACTGCAGTGGACTAGTACTGCTAGTGGTAAATTCCAGGCAGGGAATATGCTTAATCTCCAAGGCAGCTGGCCAGTGAGTGATATTACCTTTGTAACTTCATTAAGGATCAGTGGGGTATCCTGTGACCTGAGAGATGACAGTGTGAGGACTTTCCTTCTTTCTTGCCTTATGTCTTCATCTTCATCTTTTTTGGTTTGCTGATTAGATACTACAGCCTGTATTTTTGAGACAAGGAGTACACATGTGGGCACTCCATAGAGAATTGGGTTAAACCAACAACTTTAAGAAAGCTAACCAGAGGGTATAATCTCAACGATAGGAGGGAACACTTGGGCAGTTTCTAGGACCCTTTCTACCTGCTTCCTGAACTCTGACATGCAAACATACTTCTGGCTGGCTCCATGTTAGAAGAGTATGGCAGTTTAGATGAGTCAGGACATAATTATATGAAACTATTGTTATGAACATTTTGTAAGAGCCAGGGTCAGTAGAGAACTACAAGGAAACAGTGATTTCTGGACATAGCAGGGAAGGTGCACATATGAACTCATGTGAGTTGTGACAGCATGTACTAGGTCTGCACAAGCTCAGTCCAGACAAAATACAAGCATGGATAGGGTGGCTGGGAGCAAAATCCCAACCCTAGCTGAGGAGCTTTTGGTAATTGATAGCTTCTGGGAGAAGGAGAATTAATTTTCTTTAAGGGTGTGACCACTGGTAGATTGTCCACATTCTAGTGGAAGGCTACACATCCAAAAATATTTGGGCAGCACAAATTGGACCCAATGTGTAGTGAGATAATCACTTTGTCTGTACCCATGACTTTGACCATGCCCATTGGGGCTGGGGACATGGGCAGATGTTACCTGGGGGGAACTAAGTCTGAGGAGGGGGCCACAGGAGCTCTCTTGCTTGTAGCATGGGGACAGGAGAGCATCCGAAGGCATCCTTTAGACCAGGAACCTGCTGGTGTTCATCTGTCGATGTTGTAAGTTATTTCTCCCTGAATAAACATCTATTTAACCTATTTGTTTCTCCTGATCTTTATTAAACCTTAATTCCAATGGACTTAAAAAGTAAAAAGAGGACACAAAGTTGGGTGTGTATGGAATGGGGACTGGATCTGGGAGGAGCTGGGAATAAGGAGGGAATGTCATCAAAATACAATGTATAAAATTCTCAAAGAATATAAAAACTTTACTTAGAGTGAATAGTATCTTCTTGCTAGCATAAGAACAATTATTTCAGTTGTAGCTAATCCCAGGAAAAATGACTTATTTCTTAGAGGACTAAACCCAAGCTAAGATACTTATACCTCAAACAAGCCACAGATCTATTTTAGTGTAATCAGACAACATTTTCTTTAAAAAGTAATGAAAATGAGAAAATGTAAATTCCTATTTTTGGCCGAATGTTGCACTTTCTTTAAATTATATTTAAAGTCTAGTTAGTTACTTACTTGCCTGCTTTTTCTGATTTTATTGTAGAAGTAAAAAATAATGTTACGAAAGACAAAGTTCTTCAGGTTCCAGGAAACAGTCTCTAGGGATAAAAGTAAGAGGAGGAAAACTAAACCCATGGCAGCCAGTGTGATTAGAAATTTTCCAATCCCATGCTCTCCAAAGCCATACACATTGTTCTGAGTATCTGAGGACACAAGAGAGACAGTTGCCTTACATTAAAAACACAGCATTCAAAACGGTGCCCAAGAGTAAGACGTATAAGTAAAAATCAATCTTTTGTCTTTTTTGTTTTGTTTTCAGACACTCATGTAACTGAGGCTGGCATTCAACCAGCTATGTAGTTGAGGATGGTCTGAAACCCTTGACTTTCTTTCTACCTTCCAAGTCCTACGTTCATAGGTGTGAACTTGCTCAAAATAGATTTTAAGTTAGATTTAAGAAATATAGGATATGTCAAATATGTTACTATCTTGGTTTTATTTGATATTCTTTGTTGTGGTTATTTAAATTTGTTGGTCTTTAAACAGCAGCTCACAGCCTGGGAAAAGATTTTCACCAATCTTATATCCGACAAAGGGCTGATCTCCAAAATATACAAAGAACTTGAGAAACTAGTCAACAAAACACCAAATAACCCTATTAAAAAATGGGGTACAGAAATGAAGAAAGAATTCTCAATAGAGGAAATCAAAAAGGCTGAAAGACACTTAAGAAAGTGCTCAACATCCTTAGCTATCAGGGAAATGCAAATCAAAACATCTTTGAGATACCATCTTACTCCTGCCAGAATGGCTAAAATTAGAAGCACCAATGATGACTCATGCTGGAGAGGATGTGGAGAAAGGGGAATACTCCTCCACTGCTGGTGGGAGTGCAAACTTGTACAGCCATTTTGGAGATCAGTACAGCGGTTCCTCAGGAAAATGGGAATTAGTTTACCACAGAACCCGGCAATCCCCCTTTTAGGCATATACCCAAATGATCCACATCCATGCAACAAAGACATCTGTTCAACTTTGTTCATACAGCACTATTTGTAATAGCAAGAACCTGGAAGCAACCTAGATGCCCCTCAATTGAAGAATGGTTAATGAAGATGTGACACATCTACACAATGGAATACTACTCTGCAGAAAAAAATAATGGTATCTTGAAATTCGTAGGCAAGTGGATGGCACTTGAAGAAACCATCCTGAATGAGGTAACCCAGTCACAAAAAGAGGAACATGGTATGTACTCGCTCATATATGGATTTTAGACCTAGAGCAAAGGATCACCAGCCTATAATTCACACCACCAGAGAAACTAGGATACAAGATGTGTTCTAAAGATTCATATAAAGTCTCTCACAGAAGGCGGAAGGGACAAGTCCCCAGAGCACATAGGAAGTGGGGGGGCAGTGAATGGAGAGAGAAGTAGGAGAAAACGAGGAGGAAGAAAGGAAAACATGTGCGACCAGGAAGATTGTGCCCGATTAGGAATAGAAGACAGGAAAGAGAGAGAGAGAGAGAGAGAGAGAGAGAGAGAGAACATAAAAGAGGGAGCCAATATTGGTTTGAAGATAAAATTGAACACAAAGAAAGGTCTAGAGAACTACAAGACTGCTGCCAACTAACAATTTGAGCTTCTGTGGAAAGGCTACCATAAATGCCCTTCCTGGAGAGTGAGATCAACAACTAACTTATCCATGGAGCCCTCAACTAATGTCTGTTGGAAACAGAAGCAAACACCCATACATAAACACTGAGTCGAACTAGAACCCAGATGCAGATGGAGAGGACAAGACCAGGCGGCAGAAACACAGAGACAGCTGACCTGAACAAGGAGGAGCTAAGGGGCCACCAGACTGATAGCTGGGAAGCCAGCATGGGAATGACTCAGGCCCCCCTGAATATTGGTCTCAGCCAGAAGGACTGAGAAGTCTAAGGGACCTAGACAATGGAGCCAAGTTGTATCCCTGGTGCACAAAAGATCCTTGAGAACACATCCCCCATGGAGAGATAACTGCCTTAATCTAGAGACAGGAGAGAAGCCCTAGTCTCTACTTCACATGACCTGCCAGACCTACATGACCCCACCTGGATGGCATTGCCATACATGTGGAATTGGGGTGGGGGGATTGGAGGGGAGGGTGCTTAGAGTGCAGGTGAGAGGGCAGAGAGGGTAAAAGGGAGGGAAGGAGGGAAGGAGGGAGGGAGGGAGGGAGAGGGAATTGGGTTCGACATGTAAAATAATAAATTATATAAAAAAATGCTTTGTCTCCAAAATTTAAGTTCAAGGACAAGTTACTGGGGAAAAGGATTTCTATTTTTGTTTCCACAGAAAATGAAAAGCTGTGGATTCCTTCCAGACTAATGTGGTTTGATCAAGCCAGACCACCTGAAACAGAGTACCAGGTGATTCTACATTCAAAACAGCTGGATAAAGCAGCCTTACAGACTACAGCCAGGATTTCTGCATCTTCTTCGAATCCCCCATGACAGTGCCCCTTACCAGCAGGAAGTAGTTTGGAAAGAACAACACCCAAATCCCCAAATATTGTCTATAAATGTTTGTTTTCATTTAAATGGACTTGGATATATATATATATATACATATATATATAGAAAAAATAAAAACATACAATCAAAAAAATTGGTCTTTTATTTATTTCCCCTCTAGCTTTCCTGTTCTCCATTTTGGTCCTGAGGATTGACTCAGGGGATCAGACATACATCCAGTGCTCAATCACTAAGCTGCACCTGGTCCTTTTATCAGTGTCAGGTAGAAGACAGTCTTACCACATATTTGCTGAACATTTGACCTCCTTCTTTGCAATTTTCTCACTTTTTTGACATAGTTCTTTGAAGCCAAAACTCTTCAATTCTTATATGTTTACTTTTTCTTCTTTGTTCATTTTAGTATCACATCCACTAAACTTAATCTCATGTTGTAAACATTTTACCTCTATATTTAGGTTGTACATTTAGATGACTTGTACACAGTGAATTAAATTTTGTGTGTGGTTGTGGTGAAGACCAATGTTCACTTTTTTGGATATGGAATTTAGTTTTCTCAGCACAAATTGTCGAACAGACTCTTGCTGTGCAGTATTAGTTGAAGATGTGCTACAATTGTTTACGCTCTGGAACATTTGTTTAATGGTGTAAAGATACATTGCATTATTTTATGTTACATTTGTTTAACTCTGTAAAGCTGTGTTACTGTGCCTGCATAAAACACCTGATTGGTTTAATAAAGAGTTCAATCATCAATAGCAAGCGAGGCAGGAGAAAGAAATAGGTGGGGCTGGCAGGCAGACAGAATAAATAGAGGAGAAATCTGGGAGGAGGATGATTCCAGGGGTCAGTCACCCAGCTACACAGCCACAGGGTAAGAAGTAAAGGAAGAAATACAGAAATAGAGACAGGTAAAAACCCAGGGGCAAAAGATAGATGGAATAATTTAAGCTGGCAAGAAATGAGCCAAGCTGAGTCTGGACATTCATAAGTAAGAGTAAGGTGGCTGTGTATTTATTTGGAGCTGGCTGTTGGGTTCTCCAAAATGTTCAGAGACCTACAAGAATGACCCCAACTAACTAAGCATTAGTGGAGAGACTATCCCCTTCCCTGATAATGAGATTGATGACTACCTTATATGCCATCCTAGAGCATTCATCCAGTAGCTAAAGGAAGCAGAATCAGACACTCACAGCTAAACACTGAGCTGAACTCCTGGAATCCAGTTGCAGAGAGGGAGGAGTGATGATCCAAGGGGTCAAGACCAGGCTGGAGAAACTCACAGAAACAGCTGACCTGAACAAGGGGGCACTCATGGACCCCAGACTGATAGCTGGGAAATCAGCATAGGATTCACCCAGAGCCCCTGAACGTGGATGTCAGTTAGGAGGCAAGGGCAATCTATGGGGCCTCTGATAGTGGATAAGTATTTATTCCTAGTATAGGAATGGATTTTGGGGGCCCATTCCACATAGATGGATACTTGCTTAGCCTAGACACATGGGGGAGGGCTTAGGCTGTGCCCCAAATGATATGACAGACTTTGAAGCTCCCCCATGGAAGGCCTCACCCTTCCTGGGGAGCAGAAAGGGGATGGGATAGGTGGTTGGTGGGGAGTACAGGAGGGGGGGGGGAAGGTGAGGTAACTGGGACAAGTAAAAAAAAAAAAAAGCTTGTTTCTAACTTAAATAAAAATCTTTAACATTCATTTATTGTGTATGTCATTGTGTGTATATATGTGTAAGAGCATGTGTACTATGTCATATGTAGAGGTCAGAGGGTAAATTGTGGGAGTTGATTCTCTCCTTGGGAATCAAATCCAGGATGCTATGTTCAGTGGTTAAATACCTTTACCTGTGAGGCATCTCAGTAACCCTTGCATCTTCTTGCCTCTGCTCCCTTTATGTATATGCAGTGGCTGTCTTTATGTATATGAACTTTTAAAATGTACTTTTAAAATATCAAAAACATGTTACTCTTACTTTAGGTGGCTGTAGATACTCTATGGCTTTAAATGATTTGGAACTAACTATTCAGAAGGCACCCAAAGCAATGATACAGTCTCAAGAGGTTTACCACTGGCAATGCCTAAGTTGCTCTCTTTGGCATTTATCAAAAAGTCATAAACATGCAAACAATACTCTTTGGGAACACAGTTCACATCACCCATAAACATGCCATTTACTTTTACTTTCACAGTGTGTTTTTCCCTTATCCCTTTACTTTTAGTCTACATGTCTTTGCCAGTGTTTATTTGTGATAGCATACATTTAGCTCTTGTTTTCAAATCCAATCAGCTAAGCTGAATCTATTAATTGAAGAAATCAGACTATTAACATTTATGATTATTCCTATTCTGGTTGGTTTTAATACTGGTTATTCATTTCTTTTCCCCTTATTCATCTTAGAATTTAATGCTTCTTGTTTTTTTTTTTTTTGCTTAGAATTTTTGCTTCTTTGTTATTTATGAATTCTTTCATGAAATGAATTCTTTCCTGAGTTCCCATGATTATGACTATCTTTATTATTTACTGACATACAGGGTTTCTTTAAGTATTTTCTACAGTGCTGTTTTACTGGACCATAAATTGCTTTATCTCAGAAGGTCTTCAATTTCTATTGATTGTAGAAGTTAACTTTGAAAAATACAGTAAATTTTGTTAGCAGTTAATTTACTTTCACAGCTTCAGATATATCATCCATGCTTTTATGGCTTCCAGTGTTTCTATTGAGATGTCTGATATAATTTTGATGGATTAGTCATATTAAGTAGTTTAGAACTCTTCTCTTCCAATTTTCAATATTCTTTGTCCTGTAGTCTTAACAGTTAATCTGCAATGTGATGTGGATAGATATTCTCTCATCATGTCTATTTGGGATTCTAAATGACTCTTCTCCTTAGATGTTCATAGATTTCCCAAAATTTGAGAAACTTTCTGCAAGCATTTTATTGAACAGGTTTAATGTGCCCCTGATTTGCAACAATCATTCTACACAACTGGAGTAAAACCAGGTTTTTCTTACTTTAACAAAACCTTAGTAGAAGTGTAGAAAGGAGAAAGGAAGATAGTGCTTTTATGGCCTGACAAGTTCCCAATACTCACATGGCTCACTACAATCCATGTATATGCTTCTGAATTTTCTAGCACAAAGTGTCTTCACCTCATAGTCATCAAAATACCTGCTGATACTCATTGCAAAGTTGTAACTAGGCAGAATCATTAAAGCTGTTTTTATGAGGCTGTTGATGAACTTAGGAAAGTCACTATCTGTAATTAAAAGATAATAGGTTAACTTCAGTTATTAGAAAAGTAGTGAACCTCCTCATAAAAATACACCCCCCCCGATGATTAAGCCATTCTTAGACAATTGTGCAACTATCAGACAATCCTTAAGGAAGCACCACTTGTTGCTAAATACACCCATCAAGATATCTTGTGGAAAAATAACAGAATTTTCACATAATCAAAGAATAGATTTTGTTAACAGTGACTTCCTAGAATCTGTTTTCCTTCCTTTTTATTCTTGGTTCTCCCTTTTCATTTTTTCTTTCTTCCTCCTCCCCCCTTTCCTCCATCTCTAACTCCCACATGCCCACTTGATATTTGCTGATTTCCAAAAATCACAGGTTTTCAGATTATTGGAAAGTGTTTATCAGTTATTTTTTAATTCTTATATTGTTATTTTATCCCCATTTACTTAACGTATTATCTGGAAAAAGGGAGAATAGTGTGGTGTTCTTACCATAAAATTGTACTATAGTGTAAATGACGATACTGAAAACAGTTGAAAAGTAGTTAAAGAGTGTGAGCTTGATGTAGGCAGTAGTGCTACTATGGAACAGGAAGCTTCCAAGATACATGAGAGGCACAACGCACCAGCCATACAACATAAAAATCAGCATCGTGTCCAGAAAGTTGTAACTCACAACAAATGCATCCACTTGGCAGAATCTGAATATGCCCTGGGACACAGAATACAGAGGTAAAAGCAAGGTGAAGGATACTGTGCACAGCCACTGTTTCTACTAGGCTGTAATTACCATCTACTAATTTTGGTCATTTTTTAAGTTTTAGAGTGTTAACCTCAGGCAAACTATCTCCTAACCAAAAATATTACAAAGAACACAGTAACTAACCTCCTCCCTCTTTCCATTTTCCCACAGCCATGACCAAAGGCAAAGTAATTATATTTGCATAAAGCCAAGCTAAGTTTTTCTTGTGGAAAAAAAAAAGACCTAGAATATAAGCCACTTTTCTTTGGATTTCCTCTATGACTGCTTTGTTTAGAGTTCCTTTTGGTGGTTGGTCTTTTTAAATTACTCTTAATTACAATTGAGAAGTGACCTGAAGAGCACACAAATTTAGAGTGATCTAGATTTTGAACATAAATACTAGTGCTATTAAGAATTTTTAAAAATCTGCATATTAGCCTGTGATTTCTATTTTTTTTTTTTTTTTTTTTTTTACAAATAACATAGTTGTATCTTCTGATCAACGAGATTATTATTTGCAAGATCACTAATTCATGGAAGGAAAAGACAAAAATAAGAATGTTTCATTAGAATTCTGTATCTAAAGGAAGCAAATAAAGAGAATTAGTGATCATAGGTGAAAGAATCTAATCGCCGTAACTATGGTTGGATCTGCCCCTAGCAACAAAGAGGACTGTAAAATAGGAGAAAACTGTGGGAAACTAGAGGCACCTTTGTTCTAAGACTTACAACTGTGATAAAAGTCCAAATTAGAACTGGTTTCAAGGTTCAGTTAAGTTTTCCTGGATAAGAGAAGTAATATACTTACTCTGTTGTTACATAAGATGTGAGTTGACATAGTAAAAACAGGAAATTAAAAACTAATGTAAATTAAATATAATTAGGATTTTCTTGAAATATGCTGCTTTGAAAGTTTATATGAAAACAAAAAACCAGTCACGGTAAAGAGGGCAGTCTGCAAAAGAAGATTAATAGAGGGAGTGGGGGAATGGCAATGCATAAAAATAATTAAATGTACTTTAAAACTGACACAATTAAGAGTGACTGTTATCAGCATCACATTACAGTTGGGAACATTGCTCATTTGTAGACTTACTGCTTTTATGCATAGGACTCTGGGTTGAGTCCTTTGTACCATCACAAAGTGGCCCATTGAATATACACCAATGAGACAGAATTACACAACACAAAATATACTTAAATGCATATTGCTAGTTACTACACTACAAAATCCGTATTTCAAACTAGTGAGAAAAGAATCATTACTTTAAAAGAATGTTATAGCTATTTAGGTAAGAAATGATTCATTGAATTATTTTTTTTTACCAAGAAATAATTTTTGAATGAAGGGGGTGAATAGTCAATAATAATATAGGTAAAATAAGTTGTATTTGAGGCATTAAAGCCTGAAGAAGAAAATACTCCTCCCTAAATATTTTTGGAATAGAGATATCTAATGAGAACAGCATTATTTTTGAGGGTTATGTCCAAATCAATATTGCCTTGGCTAAGCAAATCCTTGGTAAGACCAGTAATTCTAACATTCATTTAAACTTAACCTTGTCAAAAGATAAACTTCTATTTACACTCTTCAATAAACATCTAATGAAGAGATAAACTGACATAAAAGACAGAGTAAGATTCTTAGAAACAGAAGTTGTGGAGGTTGCAGAGATGGCTCAGTGGTTAAGGGCACTGAGCTGCTCTTCCAGAGGACCTAGGTTCAGTTACTAGCACACACGTGATGTCTCCTAACTAATTGTAACCTCAGTTCCAGTGGAAATGGAACTCCAGGGGCATCAGAAACATACATGATGCACATATATACGGCAAAAATTCATACACTAAAGTTAAAAACAATCTAAAACAAATTTAGCTTCTTTTCCTTGTTATATATATTTATGTTCCTTCTTTTGCCTTACTGCTACAGTTAGTGGTTTGAATGCAATATTGAAAAGGAGTAGAGGTAATGGATTTCCCCATCTCATTCCTCATTTCAGTAGGATTGTTTCAAACTTTTCTCTATTTAAGATGAGGTGAGCTATGGATTTCTCATAGCTAGTTTTATTTATATAGATGTATGTGCCGCAATGATCCTACTTCCTCCTAGGACTTTTATCATGAAGGCATGTTGGATTTTGTCTAAGGCTTTTTCAACATCTATTGAAATGAACATGTGATTTTCATCTAAGTCCATTAATATGGTTTATTATTCTTATTGATTTGCATATGTTGAACCATTTCTGCATTTCAGGGATAAAGCCGACTTGGTCATGGAATCCAATCTTTTTTATGTATGTCTGTATTCAGGCTGCAAATATTTTGCTGGAAATTTTTGTCTATATGTTCATCAGAGATATTGGCTTGCAGTTTTCTTTTTTTGTTGTGTCTTTACAGGTTTTAGTATTAAAATGACATGGCTTCACAGAAGGGGTTTGGGAGTTCTCTTCCTTTCTTTCTTTTTTAATAGTTTAAGAAGAATTGGTTGTAGAATTCTGCTGTGCCTCCACGTGGGCCTAGGCTTTTTTGAAGTTGGAAAGCTTTTATTATTATTGTTATTATTATTATTATTACCTCCTCATTTGTTATGGGTATGTTAGGCTCTTAGTATTCGATTAATTTTGGTGGTTTGGCTGAATCTTGAAATTTATCCATTTCTTTTGTTTTCCAGCTTAATGGAGTACAAGCTTTTAAAATGTTCTTTTATAATATTCTGAATTTCTTGGTGTCTGTCTGCTATGTTTCCCTGTTCATTTCAACTCTGTTAATATGAGTCTCCTCTCTTTTTCTCTCTTTGGGATAGTGGACCAACATTCTGTCATCTTGTTTATATTCTCAAAGGAGCAGTTCTTTTATTCATTGATTCTTTGTATTTTTTGTTCCTTTTCCATCAATATCTGCTCTGATATTTATTACTTCTTGTCACTGAATAGGGTTGGATCTGTTTTGTTCCTTTTCAAAGTTTCTGCATCATTAAGCATTTATGCTTTTTCTGAATTTTTTAAAAATGTTGACAGAATCATAAATTTGGCTCATAGGACAGCTTTCAATAAAACAGATACAAAATAGGAAAAGAAGAAACCAAATTATCCCTATTTGGGATATTCTACCAGAAAACTTCTAGAAACGACAAACAAATTCAGCAATATGGAACAATGCAGAATCAAGTTGCACAAATAAATAGCTTTTCTATATAATAATAAATATACAGAGGAGATCATGCATACAATTCCATTAACAAAAGCCTCAAAGAAAATAAAATATTTACAAATAAACTCAACTAAAAATGTGAAGTACTCCAACATAGAAACTTTAAACTGATGAAGAAAGATACAGAGAAAGATACTAGCAAATGGAAAGACATGCTATGCTCATGGATTGGTACAGTTAACTTTGTGAAAAATAATCATATTATCAAAAGAAATTTACAGATTCAATGCAACCCCAATCAAATTCCCTATCTCATTATTTTCAGAAATAGAAAAAAAAACTACCTAAAATTCATATAGAACCACAAAAGAACCCAGACAGTCAAAATAATCCTGAGGAAAAAAGAACAAATTTGGAGATTACTATCCAGACATATTGTAGGACTATAGTAATAAAAACAATATAATACTGTCATAAAACCAGACATATATATCAATGAAGCAAAACTGAAGACTCAAGCATGAGTATATATAACTTCAGTCACTTACATTTGAAAAAAAATGTACACTAGAGAAAAGATAGACTCTACAACAAATGGTGCTTGCAATATTGGATGCCCATATGCAGGAGAATGATATGACCTGTATCTATCACCAAATGATCAAGATCTGAATGTGAACCCTGAAACACTGAAATTGCTAAAGCAAACCCAGGTAATACCCTTTGTTATACAGGTGTAGAAAAGTGCTTTCTGAGTAGGACTCCACTTGCCCTTGAATTTTTGCAAGTGAGACTTTATACAACTAAACTTTAAATTTTACAAAGTTTATAATTTTTAAAAATAAAATTAAAAGATATCTGTGTAGCTAAAGTAACAATCAGTTGAAGAGGAAGCCCAGAGGGTGGGGGAGAATATTTGTCAGCTATATATCCAACAAAGGATTAATATCAAGAAAACATAAATAACTAAAAGAGAAACAGCCAAAACAACCCAAAAAACCACCAACCAACCAAACAAATAACCCCCCCCCAAAACTCAACCCAAACAAACCATCCAAAATAAAACAAAAAACAAAACAACCATTCAGTGGTGGCTAAGAAATATCTTTTAAAAAAAAATCATCATGCCTACTAAGTAGGGAAATGCAAATCAAAACTACTTTGAAATTTCATCTTATCTCAGTCAGAATTGCAAAGATCATTGGAGGGCATGCAGGGAGAATGGAACCCTCAGTCACTGTTGGTGGTATTGTAAACTGGTTAAGTGTGGAAACTAAAAATCTACCTATGGCACGGTCCAGCTATAACAGTCCTTACCATATGCCTAAAGGACTTGTTATCTTATTCCATATTTACTTGTTAAGTGATGTCCAATACTGTTCTATTCACAACTAGGAAATGGAAACAACCTATATGTCTTGAAAATGATGAATATATTTTAAAATGTGTTACATATATACTATAAAATACTATACAACTGTAAGGAAAAAGGAAATTTGCAGGTTAAATAGATAGAACTATAAAGTATTATCTTGTATGAACTAACCCAGAAACAGAAAAAGAAGCATTGTTATGTTCTCTCTCATCTGAGGTTCCTAACTTTAAGTATTGATAAGTGAATATATAACTTGGAGTAACGACAGAAAGTAAAATTGGACAATTGTTTAGAGTAGGAGGCCAATAGAGATGGGAATAGCAGGGTACAAGTAATCTAAAGGGTAAAGTGGGAAAAATAGGTGGGTGTAATTAGGGAAGGGGAGAAAGATAATTATAGAAGAGAACAAAATAAAAGTAAGGACATCTTGTAAATATATAACTTTTTAATTTAAACTATCTGGACTGACAACAGTCCCTCTGATAGCCATAGACCATCTATCAAAGTCCCTAGCACTAGGCATGAGAAGGTCCCTTTTGAGTTGGCCAGGGCCATTCAGGAGGTTCCTAAAAGATTATATAATGTATTGCTATAGCTGTTAGTTATAAACCTCCTTTAGATGTGGAAGGTGAGGCACTATCCCTAAAGACATCATGCACTTCAGACACAGGGTCCAGAGGACCTTTTACTGGAACTGATCCCAATGTAAGCTTCTAAAGGAGGGAAGTAACCAAGAGTTCTACCCAGGTATCATACCTATGAACTGCAACAACAACCAGATTACCAAGCATATCTTGGTGGTATAAGTAACAGCTCTCTAGTTGTATTTAAGATCCACTCAACAAGAAGGTAATTTTACCTTATACTGGGAACCTACCTGACTACTCAAGGTTAGTGAAGTCATGATTTGGAGGAGAACCTTCAACTGCCACTTCATTAAACTAGTATAAAACTAACTATACTATAAGTGTTTGTTCTTTTACCCACAGATAAATGTAGTCTTAACCCTTCGTCAAGGAAACTTTGCAACAGATGGAGACAATTACAGAAAACCACAATCAATCACAATAGACAATTGTGGAGCCCAGTCCCAACTGATAGAATATAACTCCTGTACTTAAGGCTCATGCATCACTATAAAGGAAATGGAAAGAGTGTTAAGAGCCAGAGGAACAGGGAGTTTGCTGTGAAATTGTGTCAACTACTAATGTTAGAAGCTATATACCCACAAAGTCTCAATAGTATGTCTGCCTAAACATGACTTAACAAGGACAACACTAATAAGAGAAAGCTGAGGAGGCCTCATCCCTAGACAAAGAAGTACCAAAACTAAGGAATGCTAGGAGTGAGAGAAATAGTCTTTCCCAGGGAAAAGAACATTAATTGGCTATCCAATACCAAATTGTCAGTACTAAAAACATACATACATAAGTAACAGTATAAATATTGAGAGGGTTGTGTTTATGTATAGGAACACACACACACACACACACACACACACACACACACACACCAACAATAAAAGAAAAAAAGAGCCCATGAATCTAAAAGACAATGTGGGGGAGTATATGAGAAAGTTTGAAGGGAAGAAAGAGAACAGGGAATTGGCTAATTATATTACAATCTCAAAAAATTAAAAAAAAAGAGCAAATTGTGAATAGGGCAACAGAAGTGAAGTGAAACATACTTTTCAGGGTAACTGAATATGAGTGACAATGGCTTTAAGAGTAACTCCAACATTCTGACTGTCCTAGGTGGGTAAAAGTAGAGAAGTGACTTCTCTGAGCCCCAGTTTTCCGCTTATAAATATGATGAGTTAAGAGTCATGTCAAATGTTTGTGGTACTACATAAAAACAACATGAGAAATAACAGTGGTCATTAGCCATATATAGTGATATTGGTATAAATATTGAAAATATATGCTTTTGTTTATAGTTTGCTTTTTATCTGTATCCAGGAAATGATGTAAGTGTGCCAGCAGTTTTAAGAACACAGAAAAAGTAATATCTTAGCATGGACATGAAAATATTCAAGTTCAATTAATTTTAAATTAAACTTTTTCTATTAATTTATGACAAGCACGTACGTGCACATGTGCATGCATGAACTTTTCTTGCCCATGTCTATTGGATGGTGAACTATGTACCAGAGACTGACATTGAATAGTAACCAGCCTTGCACATAAAAAAAAAAAAAAAAAGGAAGTGCTATTCAGTTCTCAACACCTTGAGACTTCTCTGTATAGTACATACTATTTGCTTCTAATACTACCACTATTCCTGGACTCTGGTCTTCTGCAAGCAGCCTTTACAGCTGGCAAGATCCTGAGTCATCCTCAGAACCAATTCTTGGGTTCCTCTGCACTAAATATGAATCTTCTTGTAGGATCCAAACTTGTGGGATCCAAAGAAGATAATTTTCTTCAACAATTAGTTACCATTTCATGGTATAATCTTCAGTTGTGAATTCATAGTTCATCTTTCACAATAGTAATTGGTATTCTTCATAATGATTTAGTTTTAATTCTGTGTCAGCTGAGAAACAGTACATATTGTGAAGTTTGAGACAATTTATTAGTCACAATATTTGTCTTCCACATCTTTTATATAGAAAGTTATTTACCACTTTTACCTATATTTTATTCATCTAAACTATGTTGTCTTTGTATCTTGTTTACCAAAAAGATGCAAAGAAGATAATGGTTGCTACTGATTACTAATGAGTAAAATAATTACATTAACAGATAGTATAATTCTTAGATACATACTCTCCAGTTCACTTTTTCAAGTGTTTCATAATGAGTACCACATTAAAACTAGTTCTTCTTTGGAGATCAGCCACGCTGAACATGAGTGTGGAAGATGAATATAGTTATAGAAGCTGGCCTTAAATCTTGAGTCTGAATTATATAGGTAAGTTCCAATTTCCTGATGACGTCAAATGGATTGTGTAGGCATTGGCCTAGTTGTAATTAACTTGTCAGTGAAAGTTAAAAGATTTTAGAGCAGATTTTAACCAGGACATATTGGTAAATAAAATATGTGGCAGCAAATTCAAGGGAGGTTTTTTTACAAAGAAAATGATTCTCCTCAGGGAAAGAATCCAAGACAGTACATTATTTTAAAAAATGAGGGCTACAGTAAATCTGCCATGGTCAGTCAATGTAGTTTCAAATTACTTGACTAATTTCATTGTAGGATACAATAATTTGAGTAGAAACTAGTATGGACAATAGAAGGTAAATGGCTTTTGATGCAACTGCAACTAATACTCACCAGTAGTATGCAGGAAGGAATGAAGAAGAAGATGAGATCACACAACAAGGCAGAAAGCCAGTAAGTGAGGACATATACCCCACTCAGGAACTGGATGTGCTGGGCCTGACTGACCCTTTCAGTCACTGTTTGGAGACTAAAGGTCCCGACCACCACAGAAATGCCAAAAGCCAAACACTGTACTATTTGTAATCCATTTACAGGCCTAAAGAAGGTGAAATAAAATGTGAAATAAACGATGAAATCTAGGCAGGAAATACTAACATTAGCTCCTTTTCAAATGTATATGGCCAAACAGTAAAGGTATGTTAAGACTCAATTTTAGAAAAAGAAAAATCATACATACACTGTGTTAGAACCATAATAAGGTTGAGGCTGAGGCTTATTGAAGACAGTTATGGAAGCATTGGGTCCAGATAGTGTCATAAAAAGAATGTTATCTAATACTGCCAGGGATATTGCAGATGAATGATATGCCTCATTATTGAAGAAAACAGTGAGTACTGTTTTATTTTTCTCAACCTTAATAGAAAGTGCAATAATGCAGAAGCTACGGCACTCTTTACTTTCCAATATGTAATCATTTACGTCACCTACAATAAAAAGAAATTGTCAGTGAGCCAGCATGTAATATATTACCTAGAGATAAAAAAAAGTTGTGGGTTTTTATTTTTCTACTTACCATTCTGTTTCTCAAGTTCTGACAATGGATTTTTTCTTTAAGAATTTTATAGAATCATTAATCCTTACAAAATTCTCACTGTATAATTCACAACCTAAACCATATGTTAAGAATATATTATTTTTTTTTTCAGACAGGCTCTATGTAGCCCTGGATGTCCTGGAACTCTCTTTAGACCATGCTGGTTTAAAATTCATTTCCAGGTGCTGTGATTAAAGATGTACACCACTATATCTGGTTTAATAGTATATTTTTCTTAACTGTCTAGAATAACATGATTTGTTACTTTTAAAGGGTTGCTTTGGCTTTCCCATTTCATTTGTTTCTGTATAAATTTTAGCATTAGCCTGTAACTTTCTGTAAAGCATCCAATGGAATTTTCACAGAAATTGTCCAAACATGAACTGAACAAGGCTGACACCAATGTACAGGCCAAAGTGGATGAGGAAAGCCCCCAAATTCTCAACTCCATGCGAAGAACTACAGGCAACTGAGTAAAGCTCAGAATGGGAGAGGTAGTCTTCCCCAGGGAAGAGCACATTAATTGGTTGTCCAGTGCCAAACGATTAGCCCTGAAAAACATACATACAAGTAGCATTATACAGACTAAGCAGATTATATTTAGGAATATATATACATACATATATACATTTACATACAACAGCTATCCGAACTCTTTGTCATTCCTTTCTTTTCTTGAGGTAAATAAATATTTAAAGCTGGAATGTTTCACTGACTCATTGTATGGAATACTATCAGCTATCAGCCTTGATGTCATATTTTCAGACAAGAGTTTGTTCTATAAGTCACAAAACTATTTATTTTAAATAAATTGTCCAAACATACTGATGACTTCTATAGACCATCTTCTCAATTCTTAATTTTTTCCAATATAGGTAGGGCGAGAATTTTCTCTTTACATCTCTACTTCTTTTTGATTAATATTTCATTCTTCAATTTATCTGGTTCCTTTCACATTTTACTCTAGATGGCAAGAACAAATCAGAACATAATTTTAACACTCTGTTTAGAAATCTCCTTGGCTAAGGATATGTTGACTCCCCATGGGAGGCCTTACCCTTTTTGAGGAGTGGATGGGGGTGGGGAGGAGGAGATGGGGCAACAGGAGGATTAGAGGGAGGGAAACTGTGGTTGGTATGTAAAATGTATAAAACATTTAAAACAAAAGAAATCTCCTTGGGTAAATATTTTTTAAAATCACTTATATGTTCTATTCTCCATAAAGTAGCAGAATACAATGTAAATTTATTTGCTTCTGTGTTTTTTCAGAATTTATTTTTAAATACTATGTATATGTCTGTTTTTCATACATGAGTCTCTGCTCCTCCTCCATGCGTGGCTGACAATAGAGGCTCAAAGAAGGCATTAGATCCCCTGAACTGGAGCTACAGATAGTTATGAGTCACCATGTGGGTGCTTAGAATCTAACCTGGGACTCTGGAAGAGCAGCCAGTGCTATTAACCCCAGAGCCATCTCTCTATCCTCCATTTGCCTATTTATACCAAGGACCACTCCTTAGTTTTCAATAACATGACTCTCATTACCATTTAATATCTAATTAGAGCATCCTTAATGCTCATATTTCAACCAATATTATTTTCTATGATATTCCTATAATAGTATTATTCTTTAAAGCTTTCTTTTTTCTGCATTCATGTTCATCAGAATTATCTTTAGTATCTCCTAAAAGCTTTCAAAACTAAAATTCTTCCTGAGATAGATCTTCAAATTCCACAAGCCTCTTGTTACCTAGTTCCAAAGACAATTTCATACTTTTGGGTATATGCCATAACAACACTCACTTGCTGGTACTGAAATATATTTTTATTTTTCTAAGTCTTTCATAAGATTTCCCACAGATTGGATGACTAAAACAACAGAAGTTTATTTTTCAGTCTGAAGGCTAGAAGTTAGAGGTCAGTGATGGCAATTTTGGTCTTGTTTGACACATTTTCTTGCATTTTGGGTAGCAGTTTTGTCTGTCTTCACATGGCCTTTCTTTTCTGTATGCATGTTTACATCCACCTTTTTAAATTTAAAATTAGTTATGTGTGATTATGTATGTATATGCCAGGTGTGTGTGTGTGTGTGTGTGTATGCACAGGCACTGTGGCCAGAAGAGGGCATCTGATCACCTGAAGCTGGAGTTAAAAACAGTTGGCTGGCCTGACATGTGGTAGAAAAAAATATGGGTCCTTTAGAAGAGCAGTAAGAGCTCTTAACAGCCTAGGAAAGACCTACAGAATATGGCATTTAAAATAGTTTAGGATTTTTCTTGACAATGAGGCACAACTGCTCCTGGCAATACCACCTGCATCAAAAAGAAAGATGGATATCAACCATGTTATAGAGTTTGCTTTCAATATGGCAAGACTAGCCATTTGGGCAAGATACTCATGCTCTTGTCTGAACTGTTTGACTTTATGCTGTATAAACTGGACATGCAGGACCCACAGGAAAGTGACTGCTGATGCAAGATGAACAGTGCTGCAGGGTTCTTGCTTTATGGAAGAGTCTGCCAGACAGTCTGCAGGACACAGAGAAAAGTGAATAACAAACTGCCAATACAAGAAGACAGTTTAAAGTGTCGTGATTTGCTGAGGAGTCTGCTAGACACACTATGGCCTATGGGCTGAAGATGGAACAATACAGAAGAACTTCGGGTGACTGACCAGGCGAGTTGTCTCTGTCTTTTTTAGAGTTTATATATCACCCTTCTGTGGTCTTTGAAGGAGTTGAAGACAGATAGTTATGGTTATAGTTTTCCTTAGTTAGGATTAAAGATCATATAGGACTTCAGACTCACTAATATAGGATAAATGATGGAATATTTTCTTTAAATCTTGCTAAATGTTAATGGACTAAATATTGTTAACTGTGGTTCTTATTTGATAACTGTTTTGTTATATATTTTGGTATGTTAAGGTTAAAACCCTTCTTTTTATTTTAGATAGAAAAGAGGAGATGATTGGAGATGTCATTCTGTAAATATGTTTCTCTTATTGTTAATGAATAAAGCACTGTTGGCCAATAGCAAATCAAGATAGGCAGGTCTACGAGACCAGGAGAGAGGAAGTAGTAGGGAAGATTCAAGATGGTGGACTGACAGAGAGAACACCAGCCCCTCTCTCTGGTAAGATGAGACCATGTGGAAGTACTTAGATTAATAGAAATGGGTTAATATTTAAGACAGAGCTAACTGATAACAAATGCCAGTAGCAGGCCAACTGAAGTATATCTTAAAAAACAAAACAAACAAACAAATAAGCAAACAAAAACCAAAAAAAAAAAAAAAAAAAAAAAAAAAAAAACCAAAAAAAACCAAAAAACAAAAAACCAGCCTAGGCATCTCTCTAGCTCCCACTTTCCTCTTCTTATGAGAACAATAGTCAATGAATTAGGTCCTATGTTAATGACCTTATTTTAAATGTAATTGCCATTTCAAAAACTTACCTACAAATATAGTCAATAAAATACTTGTATTGGGATTTTAACATTGTGAAGGCACAATTCAGCCTACAACTCCTTTCCTTTTCATGTTGAACAGTGGATCTCTATGATGCATATAATATAATAACAATTAGTATACACTACTCTACTACTATTCTTTTTTTATGTTTCTCCTCATTTTTTTTTTTTAGTAATCTGTGTGGATCAACTCTGTAAATACTATATTCCTATATTCTGTAAGGTGTACAGTCACTGATTTCTGTTGAACTTAATAAATAATACTTGCAGTTACTTTTATGTCTGGCTTCTACTGGTCAGCCCTGTGTCTGCTATCCTTTTTGATATGTTCAAGGCTATTAGTGGCTTTTGTTGAGTTCTTTTGAGCCAGCGAGAGTGGGTAAACATGGTAACTCTAAGCTATAACACTAAAGATCTTATTCTTACAGAGGCCCCACAATTTTCTTTAGATAGTCACATTCTAGTTTGTTCTGTGCTTTTGGTTAAGGCCAGTGTTCTAAGATGCTTGACTTTAAAAAATTGTTTATTCAAAGCTCAAATCTGTCATAGACTAGGTCTTGTACTTGAGACATAGGAAAGATACTGAATAACCTAGTGAAGCTCATTTTTAGCATTGGTAAAGATAACACAGAGACCACATCTAGTTATGGATCTTACCAAGGGTACATGTTTGAACAAATCAGAATAATTATATCGTCTTCAGAAGTTAGTTATGAAGTCAATTAACTCTTCAGTTACTGATTTACAGGATGACTAATATAAAAAAAAAGGACAGCCATCATAGAGAGGAACCAGCAACCTATCTTGTGAGAGCTCCAGAAGAAAGAGTAGTCTTCAATGAGAATAAAACATCTAATGCTAAATCACACAGCAGCATATATTTTCATCTTTACCATCCCCACAAAGGGTGATGCAATAAGCAGAGCCACATACAACCAAAAAAGTCTCCTCCACCAATTACTAATTTTTGTGGACAGTTGTCTTGAAGTGTATCTTTTGCCTCTGATTTAGCTGCCTCTATGATACTGGCGATCAGTAGAGTGACAAGGAAATGGGCAGTTAAATACCACAGTTATATCCATTGCAAATGACAAGTAGGTTTTCATAAGGTAGCAGTCCCTTCTTTTTGTAAGCGAGTCTTACCTTTTATTTTTCGTAAGCTTTGATTCTTTGTCTTTAGAAAAATCTTAAGGTTCTTTGTGAGATTCAGAGCCAAATCAGAATTCCCTGAAATTGAGTAAGGCACAATGGTTCCACCATAGTGACTCAAATCCAGTTCCCTTTCAGGTATGTCGTTATCATCTAAGTGCAGAGCTAATAAGAGATATGTAGTAACAACCAAAACTATTATTATCTGTAGCAACATCAACTTCCAGTTGCGCCAAATGAATAGTGCTCTTTTTATAAACATGGAACAAAATTGCTGACGGTAAAGTGGAAACTATAAAGAGAAAGGAAAGAATAGTATTTTGATGATTAGAGATTCAAGTAAGATACTCATGATGAAATCTATTTATCATGCTTTAAAATCTATGATGCAAAAATATAAGATATAATACAAATGACTTTAGTTGATTCCAGTATTTGTACACTATCCTTGAAGTGTTAAGACATGGCTTCTAACTATAGTACAACTCTTAAGATCATGTTCTTTTGTTGGGGGAAGGATCAAACTCACATATGCTATGGGAGTATTCTATCACTGAGTTATACTCTCAATACCAAGATTTTCTTTATTAATATGTTAAGAGTTTTTATTAAAAATGGAAAATTGGGCCAGGTGTGGTGGTGAATGCCTTTAACCCCAGCACTTGTGAAGAAGCAGCAGGTAGCCCTCTCTTAGTTGGATACAGCCTGGTTTATACAGTGAGTTCCAGGCCATCTAAGGCTATACAGTGAGATTCTGTATCAAAACAAAACAAAAAAATCACAAAAGTTTAAAATTTTGTGTCTTTTTAGAATATATAATCTTTTTTCTTTCATTTTGAACACTCCTCCTAAAATTATTATTATTTTTTTTGCCAGCAACACATACTATAATCCAGACAGAAAACACCTTCACTTAGATCAACAAATTAGTATTAGAACAAAGAGAGAGTTTCTAGTGACAGCTTTAGAAGAGGGATCCTGATAAACAATGGCGAGAACAGCAGCTGGCATCTTTATCTAGAGTTCATTTCTTCCATTTCAAATCCCACAGACTAGTCTATTTCTTGCTATATAAACTGGAAGCATCTTTTAGATTTAGACATTTAAAAAAATGGGATATACCTAAGGGAAAAAATAACTATCAATTTGAGCATGGAGGAGTTGGTGAAAGGGAACGTGGTAGGGGCTAGAAAGAGGAAAGAAAAGGGGGGAAATGATGTAATTATATTTTAAATAAGTATAAAAAAAACCAACATGCTTACCCCAGTGTTAAATTTAATGGTAGTAATTTCACTCAAATAGGAAAATTTTTGTCTGTTATAATTTCTGGGTATATTCACATTCTGCTGCTTATCTTGTCTCATCTTTCCATACGTCAAGTAATAGGGTTTGATAGCCTGAATATTCCTTTGGGGAGCTGCCAGCTTATTGACCCTACATATACATATAGATACACAAAAAGAGCACAAAGTATCTCCTCTTAATCATGGTCTCAAAGTACTTTTCTTCAAGAATATGAAACCAGCCTATAAAACAATATAGACTATTTACACTGCCGTTGGCTGCCTCCTAAAACTGGAAAGAAACTATGTATGGGTAAAGGTACCATATAGTTTGGTTACAGAAGTTGGAAAATTGAGCTGGAACTGACCTGGAAAACGCCTCTGGAGGATTAGCTCTCACAGTAATAGAGTTACACAAGTTGCCAAGGGAGAAAAGGAATCAATAGTCCTACCCAGGTGTAAAAGCCTATAAATCACAATGATTGTCATGGCAAGAATTCCCAGGGGTACAATAGTGGTACTTATATCTTGGGGGCAGCAAACAACTAATTGGACTTAAATCCTGTTCAATATGAGGCAATTCATGCCTAGTGCTGAAAAATCTTGCCAACTACTTAAGGGGAATTTGTTACAACTACTTTCCTAATTAAGTATAATTCCCAACTATATTATGTATACTTTTCCTTATAACCACAGATAAGTGTAGCTCTCACCCTTCATCAATGAAGTTTTTTCCCTCCAGCAGATAAAGACCATTATAGACAAGTACAACTGGTTAAAATGCAAAGAATAAACTGACTGTGGGATACCCAACACAGTTGATACATCTACAACACAATGGTTACATCTAAGCCTCAGGGAACAACATAGAAGATAGGGTAGAAAAAGTGTAAGAGAGAGGACCAGGATATTTGCAGTGAGATAGTGTATTCTATATATGACAGTTGTATTCATGAAACCATAACATCTATGGCTGTCTAAACAAGTTCTGTATAATGACTAACAGCTGACATATCTTTGTGGATGGGGGATCCCACAATGCCCCACTCTTAGATAGAGTTATATTCAATCAATGGTTGAAAATAGAGGGAGAATCAGTCTTCTCCACTGATGACCCCCCGATAGGTTATGCATTCCTGAGTGGTATCTCTAACACACATAAAATGAGAAACACTAAATGGACTTATTTACATATACATATGTACACAGATATATATGTAACAATTGAAGAAGAGGTTGTGAATTTGAGAGGGGACATAGGAGGATTTGGAGGAGAGAGAATATAAGCTGGAAATGACATAAATGCATATTCACTCACAAAATTCTGAAAAAAATATAAAAGAATCCATGCATCAAGGCCTGTTCAGCATCTTTACAGTTCAGCTGAATATATATGGAAATATATTAGAATAAACTAGTATATTTGAAAACTAGTGCCACCTTATTTCAGCTGCAAAAGGACGAGGTTTGTTCTTAGTTAACAGATGAGTTAGAGATAGAAAGTTTTTCTCCAGGTTATTGTAACTCACTTAAGGAAAACCTCTTCCATTGTAGTGATTGAAGCTCCAAAGTTAGCAATGCCCAGTGTTTTCTGATTTATTTCCAAATCAGTAAACAAAGCTTCAAATCTGTAAAGAAGGAAGAAGAAAGAACTGCTGTTGGATCTAGTTATATATTTTTTATTCATTTTACTTTTCAGGAAATGGAATAAAATGCAAGCACTTCGATTTCCTTCATTTATTATTTTTAAGTGTATTCTTTCCTATCATTTTCTCCATTTTAAAAATTCTTAGGAGTGGGATGAAATACAGTGGAAAAAGTACTTTCCCAGCATGAATAAAGCTTTGAGTTCAATTTCCAGCATTGTAAACAAAAGGAAATGTATCCTTTCTTTATTTGCTTAAAACTTTTTCTTACATTTTTATCATATTTTTCTCTTCCTTAACTTTTCCTAGATCCTCCCTACCTGCTCACACACCCAATTTCATGCTCTTTCTTAAGAAGAGCACATTAAAACAATCCAAACCAAAACCAAAACAAAAGAAGGACATGTCCACACACACACATACATACACTACAAAGCCAAGGTAAGCAAACACTATAAAAAAACATAGAGTCAGTCTTGTGTTGGCCAACTGCTCCTGAGCATGGGGTCTGACCTAAAGTGTAGTTGATATATGCAATGTGACTTCATTGGTGAAAACTTATTTTTACTTCTCCCAGCAATTATCAATTACAAATAGATTCTTAGGTAGGAGTGAGATTTTTGTGCCCATTATATGTGCAGGGATTTTTTTCTGGCTTAAGCTTGGGCAGGACTGATGCATGCTGCCATAGTCTGTGTGAGTTCTTATGTAAATCAGCTCTGTTGTATCTGGAAGACACTGTTCCTTGAAGTCATCCATTACATCTGGTTCTTATAAGCTCTCTGAAACCTTTTCTTCTGAATAGATCCCTGAACCTTGAGGGGAAGTCTTTGGTGAAGACATCTCATTTAGGACTGAGTTCTCCCATGTCTTTCACTCTTTGCACTGTCCAATTGTGGCTCTGGGTTATTTACCATCTATTACAAGCAGCTTTTTTGATGAAGGCTGATAATGATTGATCAGTATAGAAATATGTCAATTAGAAGCATTTTGCTATTATGTTCATTTATCAGAATAATGGCTAGGCTTCCTCTTAGGGCCCACGACCTATCTAGTCACAGGTTTTTGGGTTCCATCTCATGAAATGGGCCTTAAAGCCAATACAAATGTGGTTAGTTTTTCTGGTAATATTTGTGTCACTATTTCATCAGTGGGTATATCTTGCAGTCAGGTTTATGTTTTACCTTGCAGGATTTGTAGCTTGGTGATGCTTCTATTTGGGTACCAGCTCAATCCCTCCACTTATGTTCAATGACATAAGTAGTGTCTTCAACAATAGGGTTTTCCATCTAGTTTTAGACTGTAACTAATAAATAGCATTAGCAAAAGCCTACAGTGCTTGGGCAAAAGGGCTATGGGATCCCTTTGGCCAATGACTCAATAAGATATAACCCATTTCTGGTAATGCTGTTTTACTTGTAACATACACTATCAAGCTGGAGCATTGTCTTCAACATCACATGGTAACTCCATTTAAATTTCTTTAATATGTATACATTTTAAGTTTTTATGGTAGATGGTTTCCATAGAGGTTTTCTTTATAAAATTTTTTGATTTAAATTAAAAACAATCTTATTTTACATACCAATCCCAGTTCCCACTCGCTCCCATCCTCCCATTTCCCCAACCATCTCCCCATCCCACCTGCCATCTACTCCTCAGAGAAGGTGAGTCCTCCCATGGAGGATCATCAAAGTCTGTCACATCATTTGGGGCAGGGCCAAGGTCCTACACTTTTTCTAGGCTGATAGAGTATCCTTCCATAGGGAATGGGCTCCAAAAGTCCATTCATGCACTAAGGATAAATATTGGTTCGACTGCCAGCAGCCTCATAGATTTCCCAAGCCCCTCAACTGACACCCATGTTTGGGGGCCTGGTTCGGTATTATGCTAGTTCTCCAGTTGTCAGTCTGGAGTCTGTGAGCTTCCCCTTGTTCAGGTCAGTTGTTTCTGTGGGTTTCCCTGGAATGGTCTTGATCACTTTGCTCATCACTCCTCCCTCTCTACAACTAGATTCCAGGAGTTTGGCTCAGTAGCTGTGAATCTCTGCTTTTGCTTCCCTCAGCTACTGGATGAAGGCTCTATGATGGCATTATAGGGAAAGGTCATTTAAGGTAGCTTTTCCACTACTGATTAGATTCTTAGTTGGGGTCATCCTTGTGAATTCCTGGGAATTTCCCTTGTGCCAGATTTCTTGTTAAGCCCATAATGGCTCCCTAGACACTGAATTTGACAATTAATAACTGGGACCTCCTGAAACTGAGAAGCTTCTATAAGGCAAAGGACACAGTCAATAAGACAAAATAGCAGCCCACAGAATGGGAAAAGATCTTCACCAATCCCACATTTGACAGAGGACTGATCTCCAAAATATACAAAGACACAAGAAGCTAATCACCAAAACAACAAATAATCCAATTGAAAAATGGGGTATAGATCTAAATAAGGAATTCTCAACAGAGAAATCTCAAATGGCTGAAAGGCACTTAAGGACTTGTTCAACATCCTTAGCCATCAGGGAAATCAAATCAAAACAACTCTGAGATACCATCTTACTCCTGTCAAATGGCTAAAATAAAAAACACCAATGACAGCTTATACTGTAGAGGATGTGGAGAAAGGGGAACATTGCTGGTGGGAATTTAAACTTGTACAGTCACTTTGGAAATCAGTATGGCAGTTTCTCAGGAAAATGGGAATCAGTCTACCACAAGATCTAGCAATTCCACTCTTAGGCATATACCCAAAAGATACACATTCATACCACAAGGACATCTGTTCAACTATGTTCATAGCAGCATTATTTGTAATTACTAGAACCTGGAAGCAACCTAGATGCCCCTCAACCAAAGAATGGATAAAGAAAATGTGGTATATTTACACAATGGAGTACTACTCAGCGGAAAAAACAAAAACAAACAAACAAACCAAACAATAAAAATCTCAAAATTCGAAGGCAAATGGATGGAATTAGAAGAAACAATCCTGAGTGAGCTAACCCAGACACAGAAAGACAAACATGGTATGTACTCACTCATAAGTGGATATTAGACATAGAGCAAAGGATAACCAGCCTAATTCACAACCCCAGAGAGGAAACAATGAGGACCCTAAGAGAAACATACATGGACCTCTGAGAAGGGGAAACAGACAAGATCTTCTGAGTAAGCTGAGAGCATAGGGGGAGGGAAGGTAAAAAAGGAGAAAAGGGAAATGGGGAGGAAAGCATTAGGGATCATGAAGGTGGAGTTGGGGGAAGAACAGAGAAGGAGAGCAAGGAAAGAGATTCCATAGAGGTTTTCTAAAGACCTTTAGTATTAGTTTCCATTCCCTATAACCCCTTCTTTATCCTGTCCTCCCATTCCTTTCCCCCATTTACTTATATAGTCTGGTTTCCCCTCTATGCTTTTGCAATTCTATATTTTATTTTCACTTCCTTAAAAGATCATTTCCTTTACTCTGGTCTCTTACTAGCTACCTAGCCACTGTGAGTATGTATCTTAAAAGCTAACATCCATATAGAAGAGCAAACGTGAAATTTTATTGGGGGGGATCTTGAGTTAAGGCCCTCAGGATGTTGTTTCTAGCTCCACCCCTACATACAAATTTCATGATTTTAACAGTTGAATAATTACCCTGAAGGGACTCGATGACCAAGGACACTTACAGATGAAATAGTTTGTTGGGGGCTTACTTATAATTTCAGAAGGTTAGTTCATGATTATTGATCATCATGGCTGGGAGCAGGCAGGCTGGCATGATACTGGACTTCTAGATGATAGCTTATGTTTGACCCAAGAGAGAAAGAAAGAGATGGGGGGAGAAGGGAGAGGGAGAGAGAGAAAAAGGAGGGAGTGGGGAGAGAACATGCTATGTGGGAATGGTATGGGTTTTGAAACCTCAAAGCCCACCCCCAGTGTTGCACCTTCTCCAAATAGGTCATGCCTCATAATTCTTTCCAAACAATTTCACTGTGCCTATGGAGGGGCACTGATTCAAACCACAACATTCCATTCCATGACACTCATGGTCTTGTATCCACATAATGCAAAATGCATTTTGGTCCAAGTTCAGAAGTACCCATAATCTTTCACTGTTTCAACACTACTTTAAAGTTCAAAGCTCCAAATCTCTTATAAGAATCAAAGCAATCTCTTCTCTGTAACCCTCTGTAAGATAAAAAAGCAAATTATGTACTCTCAATATACAATGGCACATGATATAAATTACCATTCCAAAGTGGAAGAATAGGAACATAGGGACCAAAGCAAGGCTGAACCCCAGGAAGGAAAACTCCAAATCCTGTAGCTCTATGTCTGATGTCAAAAGACTTAGATGGTTCTTTCCTCCCAGCTTTGCTGAGTGTGGCAACACACTTCTTTTACAGCTCTCTTTGGCAGATATCCCTTCTGTCTTAGTTTTTATTGCTGTGAAGAGACACCAAGATCACGGGAACTCTTATAAAGGAAAACATTTAATTGAAGTGGCTTGATTACAGTTTCAGAAGAGGTTCAGTTCATTATCATCATGGTGGGGAACATGACAGTATGGCAGTGTGCAGATAGACGTAGTACTGGAGAAGTATTGGAGAGTATATCTTGCAGACAACAGGAAAATGGACTCTGAGATTGGGTGGTTTCCTAAGTACAGGAAACCTCAAAGCCCACCTCCACAGTGACACACTTCTTCCAACAAGACCATACCTACTCCAATAAGGACACTCTTTCTAATAGTGCCATTCCCTTTGAGATCATGGGGGCCAATTACATTCAAAATACCACACCATGGTTCTTTAATGCAATCCAGGAATCACTTTCACAGCTTCACACAATAGCCTCTCTGTCCTCCCTGCAGGGACTCTCTTGACACATGCATGTCCTCAGTGGATTTCCTTAATCATGGTGGAAGATTCTACAATTCCTTTATTCCTGTATCCTTCATGACTCTAAAGCCAGAAGCATATGGCCAAGGCTCCAAAGTTGTTCTGCTGCCTGTTTGGGATAAAACTTGGTCCTTCCTTGAATTACATTTGAACAAGCTTTGATTTGTTGTTGCTTTTTAGTAACATATAATTCCTTAGGCCTTTTCACAGTGTGCAGGCTTAGGTACCCCGAGGTAACACTTCATTCCATTTTTCCTCATCTTTTTTTAAATATGAACAAAGGTTTTAACATTAAATTTTTATTGATGTTTAATAAGGATCAGGAGAAACAAATAGGCCAAATAGATGTTTATTCAGGGAGAAATAAGTTACAACATAGACAAGATGAACACCAGCAGATTCCTGGTCCCAAGGATGCCTCTGGAAGTGCTCCTGTCCCTGTGCTGCAAGCAAGAGAGCTCTCAGAGCCCCCTCCTCAGACTTAGTTCCCCCAGATTACATCCGGCCCTGTCTCTACCTCCAATGGGCATGGTCTATGCCACAGGTGCAGACAAGGTGAATATCTCATTACAAATTTTCTGGTAACTGCATATTTTGTATATCTATTTGCCTGGCTTGCTATTTTACATTGCAGATCTGTACAAGGACAATAACTTATAACCACACAACAGAGTCAATATTAGGCTGTCTTGAAATCTCTTCTGCCAATAAAATTAGTTCCAAACATTTCAATTTAGTCTTAGCAGATTCCCAGGACAAGGGCAGAAAGAAGTTACATTCCTTGCAAAAATATAAGAATGTTTCTAACTCAGTTGCAGTTATTGTTCCACTTTGAAACTTTTTGAGCTGAGCCTTCCCTAGTCCACACTGATCTCAGCACTACTGTCTTCCAAGCTCCTACTAGATGGGTCATTATGCCCCACTTATAGTGTTAACTGCTTTTCTGATTCACGGTACCAAAGTTTTCTACATTCCCCCCAAACAAACAACCTTGCCCTTACAATCCCCCCAAATCCATAACCCCTGCCAAGGCAATAGCCTTGGCACCAACTTCTGTACTAGCTGCTTTTCTGTTGCTGTGAGGAGATACCAGGGCCAAAGCAACTTTTAGAAGAAAGAGTTTATTGGGGGCTTGCTTATAGTTTTATAGGGTTAGTCCATGATCATCATGGAAAGGGAGAATGGCAGCAGGTATGTGAGCATGGTGCTGGAGTAGTAGATGATAGCATACATTTGATCTACAAGCAGGAGGCAGAGAGAGAAAAAAGAAGGGAGGAGGGAGAAAGGGAGGTAGGGAGGGAGGGAATGAGCACTGAGAGCGGTGTGGGCTTTTGAAATCTTAAAGCTCACTCCCAGGGACACCTCCTCTAACAAGGCCATACCTTCTAATCCTTTCCAAATAGTTGCACAAACTGGAGACTCAGTATTCAAATATATGAGCTTATGAGGGCCAGTATCAATCACAGAAGGGTATCTAGGTGGCAATAACTTTTGACAAGAATATACTATAGTCCCTGAAGATGAATAATAAACACACTTAGTGTTCATTTTTCTAGCTGAGATGGTAATCACAATAAAATATATTGGTGAACACCTCCAATAACTCATCTGGTTAGTAGTTGAGGTCAAACATATGTTACAGCTTCTCTAAGAGTTGCCATTCAATCTGCATTTTACTCTTTACCATCTTAGTATATTTCTGGGTCCCATTTCTATATATCTGTCTGTACATTGGAAACATAATGCCATCAGTATCCATCACTAACATCAAAAGCTATGACCACTAGGTTTAAAAACTTGAAACAAAGTATTAAACAAGCCTTGAGTAAACTTAAAATTAAGAGGCAATCCTGTTTAGTAATGTAAACATTGAGCTGTAAGCTTCCTAACTCTACCTGGCAAATAGTAGCCATAGAAAAGCTTGATTTCCTACAAATGCATTACTAAGACTTGGCAATGAAAACATATTTCTAGTAACCCCAAACTAATCATCTGGAATTATTGAGATACATACCTTGATACATACTTTTTGGGTAGGATAAATGATAACTCACTTCCTAAATCATTTTTCAATACAGCACCTGGAACATGATGCTGAATCATTGCAAAGATGTTGTTAATATCACAATGTTGTTCCTTCTCCATGACTATGCAATATCCAGCACCTGAAATAAACCATTTAGATGGCCAGCTGAAGACATCATCTACTTCTTTTTTTTTTTTAAATACCCTTGAAACTAATTGTTGCTTGTCATGATTCAGGTTATCTACTCCTATAAGGAATAAGATATGGTATGCCATAGACATTTAGTACTGAAAATGTGGCAGCTGATATAAAAGCTTTCTAAGAGACTGCACAAATAACAGCAACCTCTAGACTTTGAATATCATCCTTGGTGAACCATAACGATAGTGTATATAACCAAACATAGCTGATATACAACGTGAGGCCCCCTGTCACTGAACTACTTATTTTGAAATAAAAATATTAATAATCATTTATTCACAGTTAGTTGTACATTATGTATCAGACACTCATCTAGATCCCAAGAATATAGTAGTGAATACTACAAATAAAAATGCATCTTCAGCAGGAAATTTCAACCTGTAAGGTGATATAAACTTTGAAAAATAAAATTGGCATCTAAATTGACAATTAAAAATATTTAAAAAAATATATCTGGGGTTGAGAGCAGCTGGAGGGATGGCTCAGCATCAGTTGTTTCTCTTGCAGAGGACCTAGGTTTTGTTTTTAGCCTACATGGTGGTTCACAACCACTCATAATGAGCTCCAGAGAATCCAATACCCTGACTTTTGTGGATACTGGGCATATACACATGTGCAGTCAAATATACCCTTACATGTAAAATAAAATAATCTAATAAAAATATATGGAAATACGATTAAAATACAATATATGAAATTCTCAAAGGACTGTGTTCTATAAAGTGGGTTACTAATTTGATTCTAACACATAAAGGATAGGGCATGGTAACCAGTACAGTGATCAGTAACTGAATTGAGCAAACTCAAAACCTGAATACATTTGTGTTAATTAACCTTTAATTATTTCTACTTACATTTATATATTTTAATTTTAGAATCCTTCTACCATGACTTACATTTATAGTCTCTAATTTAAAAACCTGCTATAATTTTAACCATAATAATTCACTGTTTAAGATACTAATTTTATCACTTAACACAGAAAGATATAATTATCAAAGAATTGCTTTATTTCACTTATATAATCTTATTTCATGTGTAATAGTATTTTGTGTGAATGTATGTCTGTGTACCACATGGATGCTTGTGGAGGCAACAAGAGGTCAATGGATTCCTTAGAACTGGAGTTACAGATGATTATGAGTACTCATGAGCTGTAATCTGGGTACTGAGAATTGAACCCAGAACAAGTGTTCTTAGCCACCGAGTCACTTTCTAGCCAAATTTCAGATTTATGTCATTATGGTGATACTGGTTTGGTAATATAGAAACTAAAGCAAGAGCTATCTGGTTCCTCCTCTCCTCAGTGAATGAATGGACTAATCACTCAGTCATTTCAATCAACCAAATATCCACCTGGATGCAGGACTGCATTCCAGAGACAAAGAAGATTGTGGGCAAGTACAAAATGGGACAGCAACTTTGTTTAAGACTGCAAAGAATCATAATCAAAGCACATAGGGAAACCTCAAAAAACTATAAAAAATTAAATTATAATAGAGATCAAAATTGCAGAATAGAGGAAGGTAATTAAGTTTTGGGTGTATAACCAAATATAATGAATATAATGTTAGAAGAATATCATTAAGGTATTATTATCTTAAGTATATTAAATGGAGTGAGACCATATATTTGTTTCAGGAAGACTGAAGAGCCACAGCAGTGCAAGGTTCCCCTGACCATGATGGCAATGCGGTCACCCAGGATGTCAGCTTCATCCATGTAGTGTGTGGTCAATAAAATGGTCCGATTGCATTTATAATGCTGAAGTATATCCCAGGTGGCCCTTCTTGACATCGGGTCCATGCCAGATGATGGTTCATCAAGAATAACTACCTAAAAGCCAGAAGAACAATTCTATGATCACTGATAATTAATACTAAACTACTCATGACTTATTTACTGTTTGAAGGGAGAACATTGGAGCTAAGGCACAGAATGACAACTAAAACAGACATGAATCTAAGAAAAGTGTAACAAGCCCAAACATTATTTTATAACAACTGTGATAAAAACACAAACAACTCCTTTCTGTTTACACTGTTGTGTGTCCTTTAAGACTCATAACAACTCACAAGTTTTTAAAGAGCTGAGTTTTCCATGCAGCAGGCACAAACTCATACAGAGTCTCTGCTTCTCCTCCCACTTTGTGTCTACATCATTTCCCTTTGTCTTTTTAATACCTTGGAGCACCCAGTAAGTGCTATAATGATGGAGAGCTTGCGCCTCACTCCTCCACTCATTGAGCCTGATAATGTATGGAAATTATCTTTCAGGTTAAAAATAGACAGCATATGATCAATTTCCATATAGTTTATGTTCTGATATATTCCTTTTATCTGGAAAAAGAAGCCAGGGTTTATATCATGCATCCAGTTTTACTGTCACAAAGAATCAAGGGTCATTAGATGTTATACAGATATGAAAGTGTATTGCAAATGTATTTCTAGAAACACTTCACATCAGCTTTATTTACATCCATTGAAAGTGTCTTCTAATTTGTGTATCTTCCCTCACATCTAAGAGACAGATCCTAAAACAAAAATAGAGATGTAAGTTGGTGGCAGAAGGTGTGCAAGGCCCTGGATTTAATCACCAGACTGTGTTTTCTTTTATATTTAGAATTTATAAAGATATATGTAGCCCATTAATAAAGACTTGAAAGAAAACACAACTGTGATGAGCTCCAAATGCTATGGAAATGTATGCACTTCTTTATAGCCCACTGATCTTGCTAACTGTGAAAAGTAAAGTTAGCAGCTGTCTTGGAGAACCCTAGAATCTGGAGTATCATAGAGCCAATGATCATTAACCACTTTCTTGTGTATCCTTTAGCATGAACTCCAAGCAATCCAAACCTGGTCCAGACTGAGAGTAAAGAGAAACTTTCCAGTTTGCTTTGAATGGGAAAGGAAAACTCAGACAGACAGAGAATCAAATGTTTTTCTCTTTCTTTTATACACCAGTCATGGAATTCTGGTGAGGATAGTGGCAGGAATAAATAAGAAGGCGAGTCTGCAAGAGCCAAACTCCAAGGAAGGGAAAAACCTTTCCACATCTCTATAGCACTGTGGCTCCAGAGAGAAGGCTCACACCTTCCTCTTTGTCTGCCTGCAGGCTAGATGTAACACAGTAATGGAAGGTGGTAATTTCTGGATAAATAAATGAGAAAAGCATCTGGGAAAGCAAGAAGTACACAGAGAGATCAGAATCAGGAAAATGACATTGTACATGGTATAACAAAGTTGCATACTCTTTGCATATGTGAATCTAACCTAATTGATGAATTAGTAAAAACTGAAAACTGTGATTAGACCTCTTCCCAGTATAAGATGGACCAACATATACTATATACATGGGAGTGAATAAAACAATAGTAAAATAATCTGAGTACTGACATAATTGTAGTCATTTAAGAAAGGTACTTGCTGAGCCAGGAGCTGGGCAGCCAGCCCCAGACCTCTGGTAAACTACATTGTCAGGAGACTTGGATCAAGTATTGCAGGACAATATGCTGAAGCCTGACCATAAGTCCTCTAGAATGCAGGAGAGAAACTTTGGGTTAGAGTTAGATATGTTTAACTTGATTTCTTCATTGTTCAACATATATCTGTATCAATATCAGGCAATACAACAGGCATAATTTTAATGTATTTTCCACAGTAGTTAATAAATATAACTTAAAAAGTTAAAATGAATAGTTCTATATATCAAAGAAGAAAGTCAAATTTACTAAGTAATTTTATAAGTCATACTTCTGACTCACCGTACAGTAGAAAAAAATGTGTTCTGATAGTGTCAAGTCATCAAACAATAGGTCATGTTGAGGGCAGAAGCCCAAGTCTTTTCTAATTTCAGTCATGTTATCTGAAATATTATATCCATTAATATAGGCCTCTCCTCTGGTAGCAGGAAAACGACCTAGAATTACATAAAAAAACATGGAATAAGCTAAGTTTTCAAGTGATATAAGCAATACAATTGCAAGGTAATATCAGACATGAGTAGTAAGTATTAAGAGTATTAAGAGAATGAGTATTGCTGCCTACAGAGAAATAAAGAACAACACCAGAAATTGCACTAGCATGACAGAATTATTCCTTTTAAGTTTTATTTCTTTTTATTTACATGCTAACTTTTTATAATGGGTATAGAGTTTATTGGTGTTTATTATGAAAACATTCAGGTTAGTTGCTATGTATCATTGTAATAAGTTAGTTACTGCATTTGTATAATACTAGGTGTAAGTGTTACAGCTTCACTGAGGGACAAGGTACCCATGAAAGTTCTGCAGCTCTGAAAATAAAGGTATCTGGGGATCTAGAGCAAAGGAAACCATAAAATCACATGGCACAAATGCCACACAAGAGATTTATAGAGAATGACCCAAGAGGGTGGCTGCCTCTGCTGGGGGAGGAGCAGCAAAGAACTGAGCAGGAGGCAGGCTTTACATAGGGTTTCTTTGGGGGCAGAGCTTTCCAGGGTGGCCTGGGATTATTGAGACTTTGTGGCCTGATCCTCGAGCAAATTCAGGGATTGGTGGGATTTTGTGGCCTGATCTTGGGTGTTTTTTTCTGTAGGGGATGAGCTTGTGTACTACCTGTGATGGAGTTGGAGATGGCGGTTATGGCCATGAGAACAGTCTGGGGTGGGGTGGGGGGGCGGTGCTAGGAACTCACATGCTTTGAGGGGCTGGGCTTTGTCATCAGAATAGTTTGGGGATGAGGCCTGACAACTTGCAACATCATGAGTTTATAGTAGGTACTGGATAGACACTGTGAAAAACAAATTCTGGGAAAATATGACATCCTCAAGAAATTTTAATATTTAAATATATAATATTTATGTTCTGCTGTTGCTAATTAATTCAGATTTTATAGTGAAATATTTGATAATAAGTGAATAGCCAACTATAAAGCTGATGACTGCCTTGACTCACTTATCTTTTTAAAAATATATAGTCTCAAAACAATTTTTGTATTTAATTTATTATTTTACATGTCGATCCCAGTTCCCTCTCCCTTCCTCCCTCCTTCCCTCCCTCCATTCCCCAACTTTTACCCTCTCTGCCCTCTCACATGTACCCTAACCACCCTCCCCTCCCATCCCCCCACCCCAATTCCATATATAGGGGAATGCCATCCAGTTGGGGTCATGTAGATCTGACAGGTCATTTGAAGTAGGGACTAGGGCTTCTCTCCTGTCTCTAGGTTAAGGCAGTTATCCCTCCATGGGGGATGTGTTCGCAAAGTCCTTTTGTGCACCAGGGATATATGCTAGTTCCACTGTCTGAGGTCCCTTAGACTGCTCAGTCCTTCTGGCTGAGACCCATATTCAGGGGGGGCTGAGTCAGTCCCATGCTGGCTTCACAGCTATCAGTCTGGTGGCCCGTTAGTTCCTCCTTGTTCAGGTCAGCTGTCTCTATGTGTTTCTATAGCCTGGTCTTGTCCTCTCCGTCTGCATCTGGGTTCTAGTTCGACTCAGTGTTTATGTATGGGTGTTTGCTCCTGATGGTGGATAAGTTAATTGTTGATCTCACTATCCGGGAAGGGCATTTATGGTAGTCTTTCCATGGAAGCTCAAATTGTTAGTTGGCAGCAGTCTTGTATTTCTATAGACCTTTCTTTGTGTTCAATTTTATCTTCAAACCAATATTGGCTCCCTCTTTTATGTTCTCAGTCTGTCTGTCTGTCTGTCTGTCTGTCTGTCTCCTATCTTCTATTCCTACCCGTACTCAATCTTCAATTTTGGAGATCAGTATGGCAGTTCCTCAGGAAAATGGGAATTAGTTTACCACAGGACCTGGCAATCCCCCTCTTAGGCATATACCCAAATGATCCACATCCATGCAACAAAGACATGTGCTCAGCTATGTTCATAACAGCACTATTTGTAATAGCAAGAACCTGGAAGCAACCTAGATGCCCCTCAACTGAAGAATGGTTAATGAAGATGTGGCACATCTACACAATGGAATACTACTCTGCAGAAAAAAACAATGGAATCTTGAAATTCGCAGGCAAGTGGATGGCACTTGAAGAAACCATCCTGAATGAGGTAACCCAGTCACAAAAAGAGGAACATAGTATGTACTCACTCATATATGGATTTTAGACCTAGAGCAAAGGATCGCCAGCCTATAATTCACACCACCAGAGGAACTAGGATACAAGTTGTATTCTAAGAGATTCATATAAAGTCCCCCACAGAACCAGGAAGGGACAAGTCCCCCAGAGCACAGGGGAAGTGGGGGGGCAGTGAATGGAGAAAAAGTAGGAGAAAGCAAGAGGGAGGAGAGGAAAACACATGCGACTAGGAAGATTGAGTCTCAAAACAATTTTTAAAAGTTAATTTAAAATGCACTCCAGATGGCTTAGCACTTAACAGCACAAGAACCTGAGTTCAACTCCCAAGTACCACATGGGTGGTTCACACTTGCACACATATGGCATTTACTTAGCAGACACACACACACACCTACACATAAATAAAAAAATCTTTAAAACACATGCCAATATAGCCAACTATATTCAAAGATGCCTATAACAAGGCCATCTAATGTGACAGAAGACAAATGTTCAACATGGATAAAATGAGTAAGTTAGCCACATTCTGATATGAAAGATGTATACATAGATCATAACAAGACTACTTTAAAAACACACACAAAACAAGACTATTGGAAACAGCAAGCATAAGGAGTACATAGAAATAAATTTCACATGAACTTATCTTCTAAAAAAAGCTGAATTCAAACAGAACTTTTAGTACCAACAAATTGTTTTTATTAACAATGTAATTAACAAGTTTAGAACTAATATAAGTAACACAAATAGTACTGAATTTTAGAATTTTGTTCTTGCTAGATTCTCTCCCAAAGTAGAAGCAGACAGGTAGAAGTTCTCTTTCAAAAGTATTAAGTAGAAATGGCCAAGTTCACATGTAGGCTAGTCACCACAGCCTTTCCCCCTACCTTTGGACACAGTAGCTGAGAACTCTACTTCTAAGCTTATTGAATGATGCATCTATCAGTAAGAAGGCTGGCTTCTGTATGCTAAGGGGACACAGCATACCTTAGCCACCTGGAGGCTAGTGAGAACAGATGGTAGTCTATACTAGCAGTGGCCTACCCTCTTGTCCATGATCATCAAGAGGGAACTAAGCAGTGTAATATATGAATATCATCACATATTTATAGGCAACATAGAGACTGAAAATAGCAAAAGAAACTATGTTCCCAAAGCCTACCTTTCAACTGGATACTTTAAATATTAGACAATTACATATGAGGAGTAATTAGTTTTGTCATTTTGCTCTATGTTTTGTGTTTGTCCCTCATTTCCTTCATTATTGCCTTATTTTGCGTTTAGGTGACTTTCCAGTGATTTTCTTTGTATTAACTTTTATGGTTATGATAAAAATCAGTATTTCACATTTATTTTAATTTGGTTCTACTGATGCTACCTTAACTTTGACAGTGCTATAGCATAGTTTAATTGCAAAATATCTCCCACAGGATGGTACAGTTGTTTGGGAAGATTATAGAACTTATACGAGATAGAGTCCTGATAAAGGGAGTGAATCACTGGGGGTAAGGCTTCATGTTTTGTAGTCTGGCCTCTCTTCCTGTTCACCCTTTGCTTCCTGAGAAGAGATGCAATGTGACCAGCCAGCCTCCCTTTTCCACATAAAGTCTTTCCTGCCTGATGTCATGTCTTCCTAACCATGATGGACTGTAGCCTCCTGGAACTGTGAGCCAAAACAAACACTTCCTCTCATAAGTTATTCTTGTCAGCGTGTTTTTTCACAGAATAAAGAAAAAGAAACAAATGTAAAAGTTAACCTAAATTTCACTCCTATCCTCTTTCCTGTATGTTGCCATCACAAGTTACATTTATACATATGCGTCCACTAACATTAACACTTAAATTTTGTGATTTGTGCAGTTGCTTTAATTAGATATCTTTTCCACAGAAGATTCAAGTGACTTTCTAGTTTACTTTCATTATAATAAGGAGTCTTAGCATTTTATGTAACACTATAGTAATGAACTCCTTCAGCCTCTATTTTCTGATTATGTCAAAAGTTTTCTATTCCTTTTGAAGGACAATTTTGTTAGGTATAAAATTTTAGTTAAAAGTGAAGTATTTAAATTAGGGGAAGGCAGAGCTTTTTAACCAAAATTTTATACCTAACAACTGTATATCAAGTATTATTATAGTTTTAGTTTGCTATATTATAAAAAAGACAAATGCACAAAAATTGCCAATCTGTTATTGGACACATATGTATAAATGTAATTTGTTTTAATTTTTTATTTATATTCATTTAAAAATTTTCCCTTTTTTATTTTTTGATTTCATTTTATATTCCAAGCATAGTTCTCCCTCCCACCCACCCCCAAATAAATGTAATTTGTGATGGCAACATAAAGGAAATGGGTATAGATACAAGGAGCAAGGTTTAGGCTAACTTTTATCTTCACAGAAACAGGCTGAAGAAATATGATTGACAGAGACTGACTTTTCAGCACAAACAATAGAATATGCATGATTCTCCAGCCTGTTTCTATGATGTTGGCAACTCTAGATACGCTCTCATAGTGGAACCATTCTAGATTTTTCTTTTTGTAACTGGTTTAATTATCGACCCCAAATTGCATGCATGTTATAGCACGAAACAGGATTTCCCTCTGGTTTAGGCCTGAGTATTTTATTGAATAAATATGAAGACACTTTTCTTACCAATTCTCTGCTGACAAAAATCTGGAGTATTTCTGTAGCTGGGCTAAATATTGTTAGAAACTTGAGTTTGAAAGTAGCTCTCTTAAGATTCTCTTCTCAAGATATTTTATGTTGTTTGTGGCTATTGTAAAGAATGATGTGTCTCTGATTTCTTTCTT